GAATTATATTAACAATAAACTGTTGAATAGCCGTAAGATTATTGTTATACTTAAAAAATGTGTCAGATAACCATGGTAAACACCTTCAAATATTTAGTTATGCGTCGTCCAAATACCAAGAACACAACTACTAAACACAAAATAGCCCACAGTTAACGAAATCGTACATTGAAACAAAAATGCACAGCAGGCCGATGAACCACAAAGGGTCGTTTTAACACAGATTGCGAAATGGTATATAAAGTACAACTTTAATGTTTAAAGGTGCAATATTAAACGTAGCGCTCCCCGCCAAATCACTTTGGTTTCCTTTCCAAACAATCAATAAAGTAATTTTCAGTAATATATAATCATCAAGGGAAGTGATTGCACAACGTGCACATATACTAAACACGGAACAGAGAGAAGAAATTAACTGTAGGACAGCAACATGCATTTTTTGACAGCTCGAGAATTAAACATTGGTCTGGACCCTCAACAAAAATAATAAGGGTTGTACAGATCTAATTATAAATAAAAAAGTGCTTTGGCTCCTACTATCTACAAGCCTGTTCAGCTTCTTGTCAAGATGCTACCTGTTGGGCCCTACAAGAATTCGTGAGGCATCTTACAGGTCAGCTTGTTCTACGGCTTCTAATTTTCCAGATCTTGAATCTCCTCACTTAAATATCAATTAACTACCTACAATAATCTTTTTATTACGCACTATATACTCTATCTGATCTTACTACCTAGGCTTTATTCAGCTGAAACTTGCTCTTATTCATATTTGTTGCTTGCTTTAAGTCTGGTTGCTTTGATTAAAAACACAACAACACGAATGTTTGAACAAAGCTATATTTTCATCGGGAACGTGATAGTTTCCATGCTTAGACCAATATGGTTAGCATTAAACATTGCAAATGTAAACTATCATTTCAAGTACTATATAGCTTCTTCTACTTGTATTTTTCTTGTAAATATACTTCCAATAATGTATTATTCATAATCGCATTTTAAACCATTTTGCAGCTGCGCAGAATTTTCTCCTCTTCCTGAAATAGCGTTCAATCACGTGGTGGTATAGCACTCACCCAGATATACGCTGTTCACTGGTTGACCATAACGATCAGCAGGAAACGAAACGAAGTTTGGGTGGTTGCTCAACTTTGATGTTGACCTTAGCAAACGGTTTACAATTTAACATTTATAAGAACTTGTTCTGATTGCTTGTACAATAACTGAACAATTCAAACTTTTGAAAAAGTATTGATTTATGATACTTTGGGATTGTAATTTTAAACATTACTGATCGTGCCTGTAAAAAATGGCATGCATTTCTTGTAAACTTACCCGTTTATACGAAATATAAATTATTATAATAATTTATTATTATATGACATTTAAAGTACAACTTTGTTGTTTGTAGGTGCAGTATGGGACGTTAGGTTCAGTTTTACCAACAAGAATTGTGTTCACGAGCTGTGATCGACACCGGACTGTTTGCATGGTGAAAGCTGGTGTTGAGCATGGATAACATCTCGCTTATTTGGTAACATGCGGCGAAAAATAGCCTCTTGTTGAAGATTTACTGCTGCGGGTTTTGTTGGTATGTTCCAACTTGTTCATATTAAGTTGAGGCTCCAATCAACCAAAGTTGCATGAATTCAATATGCTCTTTCATGTTGGCAAGTTGTAGTGAATTATGTGTTCATATGCATATAATTCTCCATGATTTGTGAAGCTAGCTGATGTTGAATTATTTGTCTAGAATTTTGAGCGAAAATGAGGTGATTGGATGCAACTTAACATACCTAATGTGCCATGAGATATAGAATAATGATAAGAAAATGTTAGGTAACAATGGAAATTGGATGCTAGACAAAAGCTTAACATAAGGAAATCAAAGTGAATCGAGACCCATCCGCCTTACTTCCTCTTCTGGGAGTGCTTCTACTATTCAGCAACCCTTTGGTACTGTCAGTTTGCATGATTTCATCCAATAAATTTGGATGACGATTCAGAGCAAGGTGGTCAACTAGGGCTCATCAATTCTAGGAAGTCAGTCATTTACTCTGCTTCGAAGATTTCGAGGTTGTTTCCGGTTGGCTTCAACTAAAAATAACTCTAGTGATTGTTGTGTGGCCATCTATCCTGCTAGACATGAGCTTTAGTCACACTACTTGCTGACTCTTAAGCCTGTTTCAACCAATCTGGTGACCAGGTTGCTCTTGACAACGCTCCAACCAGTGAAGTGAGAATATAACACCCACAGCTGTTCAAAAAATATATTTATCGACGGTTGAACGAGGAGAGTATAGGGACAAACAGTCGCAGCACTACACAGCAATCGCAATATCGTCCGTTGAAAACCCGCTTATCTGCAGTGTGGTGCAATCGCCCCACACAAACAAAATGAACAATGGAGGTGGAGTGGCTGAGGCTCATTTGAAATGAGGAATTTCTTTGGTCACCTACGACGTGGAAATTTGATAATGTGCTACTTTTGGCTAGCTGAAAAAAGGTAATCATGGTCAAAATACATAATCACTTTGTGCTTTATAGTCAGCAAACTCTATGGAGATGCGTGGAACTTTGATCGGTATTCATCTACATTGTTAGCTCCTGTTTATTATTATTATTTTTACTATTTACCCTCCTATTTTGAGTGGTATACAGGGTTTCAGCAGCAAATGTTCATTGCGGCTGGCTTTCTATCATCGCCTTTCAGTGGGCATATGGCTCTCCACAAGCCTTCCTTGTCTTTTCACACTATTTCCTCCGTACCACCACAGGATGCCCAATTCGTGTCTTCCTATTCAGACTAAGCTGTAGTTCTTCGCCTGAGATACCACTTAAAAGACTCCTCAGCATATATTCGATCCGTATTCATCTTAGTCTGCACGTTTACCGGACGGCAATTTGCTGCCTGGTTCGTTGCTGTATATCCTTTCCTGTCACATTACACCTATTATCGACACAGTGAAGAATCTGTTAATGAAAGTCTGCAGTATCCTGTCCGCTGGAAAAAGACTTTGACTATCCGCAGTTGAAAATGACAGTCTGAGAATTCCATGCATAATAACCTTCGTTGTACTCTTTTCGGACATGTTAAATGAGTCTGGTGATGCCTGTAATCTGGTGCATCAAGCATATATCGTGAGGTTGAATTTGAGTATCTATCTACCTACATTTATTTTAGAGTTTGGTAGGTGTGTAGTGCTGAACACAAGGCCCAACACACTATATAGTTTATTGGTTTTTCTGCAAAGGATAGTACACCAATTACCTTCCCTTGACTTTATCCTTGAGGAGAATCAGTCTGCAAAGTATGCTAACACGTAAACACTACCGTAGGTCCGGTAAGAAGTTACAATTGTAAGTGAATTTAATGAGGTACTCGGTTCAAACAGGTACAGGTTGTGTGTAAGTACATATAGTGCCATAGATGAAATGGTTTTAAGAATTACTATCCCATCAAATTTCGACGAGCTTTTATGTTCCCCTAATCCAATATATTTTGGCCACTTGATCTAACCTATGTTTCCTACCTCACTATCTTTGTATTAGGCGAAGAAAGTCAATTTGTCTGATTGGCTGCACAAGATCCATTAGACTATGTAGTGTGTTTCTAAGTGAGTTTGTATGCTGGAATGCCACCTTATTTTTGACTTGTTAAAAATCCTATAACTGTTAACCAGTGTGGTTGATCATCAGGAATGCTGTCACTTAGCACACTTCAAGGTGCTAACTCTTCTCTGGGGAACGGTGTGATTTTAGTACAGGCCATTTGTACCTAAAAAAGGATGCTCTTGCGAGGAATTTATTCTCTAAGCCTCCTATTTGGTTCCAGGCTCGCCATTTTAAGTCAATAAAATGGTTGGCGACTACTTTCAGGGTACTGAAGAAAGGAAGTGGGATTATTTTTTTCTAATCATGGTTTCATAAATAAAGTTTCCACTTCAGCTTCTGTGATCTCATTGTCATGCCCTAATTTGATACACTAATTTACATGTGATTTTGAACTCTGGAAGGCTGCTATTTACTCTTTGTGCAGAGATCCGGATATACCAGTGAGATGACATGGGAAATGGGCTTCAAGTTTTAATATAGGTGACAATGTGGTCAGTCATATTAGCCCAAACGGTGCATCGAGTGCGCAGCGTTTAGGACGTTCGTCAACCATGCACATGGCCCGTGGTTCGATCCCTGGCCGACGCACACTCGATATCGGTGGTCGGCCTGCTGAATTTGGGCTACCGATATCACATGTTGAAAATTCCATAGTTGTACAAAAATGCTGTGTAGAAGCAAGCTGTAATAAAATAAGCAAATAAAAACATGGTTACGCCATAAACCATCAGTTACTGTGACAATTAATTTGCTGTAACCTACAAACCTGACTGTTACAAACTTCAGAATATTTTCTGGGACTTAATTGATCGCTGGATATAATAAATTCAGGATACTGTACTGGATATTTGAAGTATGAGGTTTTAGAGGCTGACGGTATTGACGTCCACGGATAGTACAAAGTATACTAACGCGAGACCTAACATCCACAACTCCTATAGCATTCGTTCCTTGTGTACCACAGGCAAAGCAAAACACCAGAATTGACCGTCCAAATTACGAGTTATATTTCGTCACCTAATCGGAGTGCGAGATGATTGCCTAACTATCTAGGGATCGTGCACGAACGAACGAACGTGACACGACGGCATACCAAATGGCGTGGATGATGACCGGAAGCCTTCGGCCAAACAAGCTGACTCAAACAGCGAGGGTCAGAATCCAATGTTCAGTGATGAATGCCGTGGCCAATAATTCTGGGGAATACCTGCCGCAATAAGGTCCATTCTGCAAACTTGTCTTACACATAAATTACTTACTTTTAAAGGAATTCCACCGAATAATTCAAAACATATCACAAAGAAAGTGGAAACGGTCAACATATATCTAGAGTTTACAATTCTTCAAAATCCGAGATGTATTGTTTATTGGAGACACAGTGGGTTTTAAATTAAAGCCTTAATTTGGCGGTCTGTTTCGTTAGTTTTTCATGAGGTTTTTTTAATTGATTATAATTCGCTATTAAACACGGATTTGGTAGTTTTACTACAACTTCCCAGATGTATTTGACATTTCTGTACGTAACTAAACGCAGGAAGTAGTGGTGGAAATCTTATTCCGTATCAGTTAACATATTATCACGTCTGAAAGAATGTCTAAGTTAGAATTCAACTATCGCTACGGTATCTCTACGTCATTGCTGTTTTATTTTGCTTGCAAGAGGACTGCATGCATTCGATTAGGTTAATACAAACGAAGTAACATGACTATTTATTGTTAAATGCAGTGACATTACTTGGAGAACTTGTTTATATTACATGATGTACAGTGAGCAAAATGAAAGGAGACATTAGACGGTATTATTTTTCTTAAATCACTTTTCAGTGCCGTTTAGCCGGTTGTTTTTGTTTGTTGCTTAAAGGCGAGTCGTTTATTATGTCATTTATGCATGTGAGTGTTTCTAAGCGTACAACGCAGATCCGGAATATTTTTTAGGACCAGTGCTACAGTTCTTGTCTTTCATATTACCTATCTACAAAGAGAAGAGTTGTAGCTCGGTTTCGAATTACATCTGGTTGATTCTGCAGCATTTGCAACAGTTTGCGAAGTGGCATGGAGTCTCCGTGTGTTCCTTTTGTAGGGTTAGGGCGGAGACTTTCAGGGCTAACCATTTCAAATGGGATCTGAAATAGGTGATGGACCGAATATAACTTGTCATAAAATTAGACCTTAGCACACTGCAAACCTTACTAAATAGTTATGCATGAATCTCGATGAAGAGCTGTGTAATGTGACCATTTCTGTTAGCAGTCTCTACATCTAATTCAAAGTTAATCCAGTTCTAGGCTTAAAATGCTTGTAGACTGTTTTTAGGCTGTATTGAACCTCCTTCAACTTTTCATTTGTCTGTAAGTTTTTTGATGTTGAAATAATGAAGCACTTCGTAAATGACGCGTCAGGGAAAATTCATGGTTTAGAATAATATAACATGTCATCCTATTAGATACATCAATCTGCTCATCATATAATGCAGTTTCACATTATTATTATTTCTATGCAGTGTAGCATATCCAGGCAATGATGCTGTACCGTTATTTAACGTAATACAAAATTATTCTTGTCTACGTCAACAAAACCTCGCTTTCCAAACTCTGTTAATAGTACATTTAGTGGGTAGGAGTTTGTCGCAAATGTTTATACTCGATTTCAGCTTACATATAACCAGTCATTCTCGTATGATATGAATTTTATTTCACATAAGTGTCTTACTCCTTGGTACTGGAAGTTAGTCTCTCTCTCAGTGCTTTATCTTTTACGTCCGGTAACATTTGATTCTTCGGTTGAGATCGCAGCTCTAATTTAACCGCCATCACACTTTTTACGACTATAATCTGGCATTCTTAGGTAAGATAACTAGCTGGTTTCCTAGACATCTCTACTCTAGTTTACTTAGAGCTGACCATGCATGGAAACTTAATGAATAGTGAGCTGTTTGTCACTCTTAATTGCAAATTCTGCACTTAGTAGTAACGATGATAGTTGTAGTGATTAGAATTATAATAAACCTGATGATAAATGCAGTTGAAAGCCGTAAAAATTAAAACAGCAAGACAGCGCAGATCTGTCAACAATCAAATTAAGTCACAGTTTTGTGATAATCAAAATCCAAATAATTGTAACAGACGTATGAAATAGTGATGATTAAGGAGGGGTCGAAAGGTTTTTTATTCAGATTCGATAGTCAAGGAGCAATGTTTAAACGCGTGCACCTTTCTCATGCTTTTTGTCATATTATTATAACCTTTTCACTTTCGCTCAACAATTTCTTGTAATGGGGACTGCATGGGATATTTTTTTTCCCTGAAACGGATTAGTTAGAAACCTGCATAGTCCTGCTATTCACATTTTATGTGACTCCATAGGGCGAGAAAGATGGACCTTAGCTTTATTTATTTCTATTTGTGAGCAGTAGGGATAGGCTGTTTACATTTTCACGCCATGGAAGTCTTCTGTGTATCTGGTGACACACAGCAGCACCTACTGTGATACTCTACCACACATTTTCGTGTTGCATAGCCACCGGGTTTTGCTATTACTCATCATTGCTGATGTGTAGAACGAGAGAGCAACATCCAAAAACCCCACCTATTAAATAATGGCAACAAAGCGGGTTACCCACTAATAAAGGCCTGATTAAAGAATGAAGATTCTCAGTGGGTGTTCTTGTAAGCTAGATGGATGGATGGAAGTTAGTGAATGTTGGCATTTTAAATTATCCTCCTAGTGAAATTGATTTTCGACAGGATCCATTTACCATAACTGCCAGCAAGTGTTCTGCGCTATGCCACATTGTGCAATGCTGTATTTTACCAGATAAATAGAGTGTACACTGATTGCTCATCAGGTTGTAAGCAATGTCATGTGTCTAGTACTCAGTGTTGTTGTTGTTGCTGATTGAGAACTGCTAGTCAAGTTCACACTGGTCACAAATCTTGGTGAATTGCCATCGAGGTCCATTTTGAGTTGATGTTAGATTATCGAGGGCAGTCGACAGGTTGCCCCGAATCAGCAACCATAGAGGAACTGATGTCCACACCGGCACCACCCATTGCTGCAGCCACAGATTTGACTACTGATCTACTCTGATTTAAGATGAACCTCCTCGTTGATGGGTACCCGGAAGCATGAGACCTACCTATTTCCTGCAGCCATCTAGAATAGGGAATGTACTTGGCGCAAAGTGTATGCGGTCTGTGAACGAGTGAAAACGAAAGCTAACGATACTAGTCATCAGCTGGCTGTTGTTATAAAAACTAAGTAGTGTATGTTAGTGCGTCATTGTAATCAGTTTTGGATCGTGTAACTAATCTTCCAATGTTTGATTTGTGTTACCTAAGAGACCCATCTGGGTGATTTTCACTTAATGAGCCCTAACAAATATTTCGAGGATAAACCAGTGACTCTCAAAACAGTAGTTAATCTCAATCGTATTTAAATTTCGTCCAAATAGAATAAAATTGGCATCCGTGGGATCGATCTCAAATGCAGTAATTTTAAGGTTTTAAAATGTTACATATGCCAGGACATCTCCTTTCCTGTCGGCCAATATTAGTTAACATGGGATTAGGTCAGGAAATAGTTAGGGGTGGTCAAATGAGAACATAGTATCAACTCATGGAGTTATGGAGAGGTGTTGGCTACACAGCTGGGATTCTCGAGTGGCTAAGATTCAGCGGCTTGAAACTGTTGGTGACGTGGGTCAATATCATTTCAAATGGTGCAAGTGCATCCACTCTTTATGAAGTCCTAGGTTGACGCCTGATTTAATTGAAAAATTGTCACCTAAGTAGTAGGCGAAGTTTCTCAGTATTTCTGAGTAGGGTGACAGACTACTTGCGGTGTGTTAGTAGCGTGTTTGCTTATTGTAAAATCTGTATCTCTTTACTGGGGTTCAAAGGTTTTGGTAAACAACCGAGTTCACGTTTTGTCACAAAAAACTGTTACTGATAATGATTTTACTCACAGACGTATTGTGTTTAAATTTGCATACTGGCATAAAAAAGGCACTGCCAATTCATCTGTTTTTGTGATATGACGAAGAAATATAATTATCGAAACGATTTGAATAGGCGTCCTTTGAGTTTTGTCATGCATATAGAAGCACTGCTAACCTGAGGATTCTAAAACCAATAATTTTATGAAATGCCTGTTATACACTTATTGAAGTCCTTATGTAGCTAGTTTGGACATTAACGCTTTCTTTTCTTTTGTAGGAAGAAATATCTGTCCAGAAAAGGTCTATGGGATTAGGATAATGCGCAAGTAAGATTCCTCTTTACATAGTAAATTATAATTCCACAGGAAATCCTTCACCACGAGATGCCACGTGGATGAAGATAATGTTCCGAGGCCTTGTGGCAGTGTAAATGAAGAAACCTCGCATAGTGATGCAGATTCAGATGTTGTTCAGATATCTCCTCTCTTCCTCATGGATAGTTCGGGTCGTCCGGTTTTGCAGGATGGTAGGCAGTAAATCTTCAAATTACTTTTACTTTAGGTACACCCGTTGTTGAACCGGAAGTCGTTGATTCAGTGACAGATGAAAATTCAGCAAATTCACGAAATGGCTCAAGAATACCGTCTAGCTTCAGCCCAGGTGTTATGGACTGTGTTAAATGCACCGCTTGTTGCTATAAAATACAACCATTCACTATGCCATTTAGTGTACATCCATTACTGAAAGTATTGTTATGCAATGTAAGCCTGCTAATGTTGTCTTAATAATTTTTTTTTTTGATAGCGTTGTACAAAGTACTGTGAAAAACAAAACTTTGCCAAAGACGAGTCAGGAAAAGATGAAAACTGCAAATGGTGTTCGGATGGTGGAGATCTTGTTTGCTGTGACAACTGTTCTCATGCAATTTGTAAGAAGTGTATCAGGCAGAATTTGGGCAGAACTTATTTGCGTAATGTTGAGTCTCTGGGTGAATCGGATACTTGGAATTGCTTTGTTTGCGATCCAACACCCATCAAAGCACTACAAGACAACTGTTCTGAGGTTGGTTTTATTTTTAACATGCTAGAAGGGGGTGGGGTGGGGTTAGACTATGAGCTGGTTGATTGTGGTTAGAACTCACTTATCCGGGACAGGCCTTTCATGTATCTGTTGGTCTGTGTACTATAAGGTAGATGTCGTGTGCATGGTAATGCTGCTAGCCAGTTGTTTAGGCTGAAGTAGCAGGTGAGGCAGAATACGAACGGGGGACCCAGTGTCTGGAAGTGAATTGCCTAACCCAGTTAGGTATGTGGTTTCAGTAATTTGCAATAGTTGAGTTTTTTCTATTCCCTGATTGGTTCTTGTGCTATTTTCTAAACATAAAAACTCAGTCTCTTATCTACTCCATTTAGTAATTTGTGGTGTTTATATTCTTTAAGGTTTTAAATATTTTGAGAAATATCTGTTTTTATCTCACACTACGACATTTCAGTCGTTAGGATGTCGAATTACTTTGGCTCTCCCAATTTTTCCTTCAGTGTAATTGTCATGTATTGGCATTGATTGGTGTTGTTTATTCAGTCAACTAACCAATACACAATTGAGTATGTTGTAGAGAGGTATAAACTGTAGAAGGGTAGAAACGTTGCCTTTTTTAATTCTGGACGGGGCAGAGAATTGGTGTACTTTGAGCGAGTTTTCTCCCATACTATCCGTTTTTTGTATACATTTATTAATTTGTAATATTTAGAAAACTGTGTTTATATATTCGTTCAGTTGCGCATAGTAGTAGTAGTGTTTCAGGTAGGGATACATTTTTCACTACTCCACTCTTCATGCATTTGTCGCTGATTAGCTTCTTATGGTGGAATAGTTGTCTGTGACTGCAAACTTTTGATTGTTATTCTCCCAGTTGTGTGTGTGCTTAATGCTTCATTGATGTTTTTGTTCACCCAAGAAATTCATTCTGTGATCGTGGTCTTGTTAGTTTTGTTTTTTGTGTACCTGGGTTTTAATTAACAATTTATGATCACTTATTGTTTTACTAGATTGTCGATAAAGTTGCAGAATACGAAGCTATCAAAAAACGCCGGTCAATGAGAGGTCAGGAAAGTCGACGATCTCGTAATAAAAGCCAAGCTAATGAGCATACTACCGGTGATGTATTTAATTCGTCTTCTAGTCACATGAACTTTATGACTCCCAACACCACTGTAGAAAGTGAGTTAATTCTGTGAATGTCTTCTGACAGATTTTTTCGGAGTTTATCCTACTTTGTATTTTAGTAAAATGATGTTTAACTGATTTGTTTGACTGCTGCTTGTACAAAAGTGAGTGTGTGCCGCCGCCTAACCATTATCAAACTGAATGTTGTCTTTTTCAAGCTGTTCACGGTCACCAGTGAGTAAGTATCCTAGTGTATTGTTATTAAGGTGTTGAATATTAGACAATGGTCGCCAGAACGCTGTGTAAGTATTCACAGAAGACAGACAGACAGACACCGGGAATCTTGAGTGACTATTGACTAACTGTTCATGAGACTGTTCATCAAGGTTTTGTAACAAGAAATGTTATCATGTGATGAGAAAGATTATGTTTATTAAGTATGTCTACTTATGGTTCAATGGTGGAATGTTCACCAGTCGCCACGTGTGAGATTCTGGTTCGATTCTCTACTGACTTAATTCTGAACCTCACCTAGGCTGTAGTATTCTGAGAAAAGAAGGAAAGTTGGGTGTGTAGCTACACGCTAACAACTCCACCCTGTAAAGATAACATCACCTCTTCTGAAGCTTCACAGCTTTGTGTTCCATGCGAAACAGAAGAAATGAATGGTAGGTTAATGACGGGGAATGTGTCCATTGTGTTACTGTATCATTAGCATACAAATGATCATCATATGGGCTAATATTTGAATAGTACAATCCTAATGTATATTAATAGCCTATGAGCAAACGAATTAATTACAGCCTTCTTGATTAATTGATTGATTGAGATTGATAGCATAAGTTATGTTCTTGAGTTATTCAATTGCAGAATATCACAAATGAAATCGAATTTAGACAGATTTAATTCAATGGATTTGAATAGCCTACTAACGTGTCATTTACCGTCAGCCATCGATCACATGTTGAAAACAGCAACTGTACTATCGAATTTGAAGTTACTAAAATGGTATCAGTAATATTTTATAGAAAAAAAGTAGTGTTAACTGGCATGGTATATGAATTCATAAGTAAAATTATTAAACTCCTTGATTTATTTCAGTGTTATGGTGGTAAATTTTAATCATAGTAAAAACAGTTGTTTGTATATCCAGTCATTTGTGTCTATTTTCGGTTGAAACAGCAAAATACAGTATTTCAAGTCCCTCTATGCCATATCCATTCTTAGTTAAACAGCTTAAGTAGAATGGATTGCTGTTGTAATGCTGCAAAGAGCGATTCTTAAATCAAAGAGAATGAAAGCATGATACAAAAAAGTGCTGTAGCATATTCCTTCAAGATTATTGATTAGAACAGAACCTGTATATAAATATAGCCGGATTAGAAGGTCTAATTAACTCATGCAACTAACTTCAGCGTAGAGTAATGATAGAAATTCTGTGTGAATAAATGAATATCAACACCTGAAAGTATGATGTAAAAAGTATCCGAGATTGAGAGTCGGTAAGTACGGCGACATAAATTATGTGCGTTTTGATCCTAGTGAAACGTGGTAGTTTCTTGTCAATTCGTTCGGCAAATAAATGTTTACTTACTCCCGTGAAGCTCTACAGTATATGCTCGCCTGCCTGCCTGGATTCAACATAGAACTTGGCACCGAAGTGCAGCAGTTCGAGTTGCCACGTTCCGAATAGCACACAAAGGTAGACAAGAAGATGAGTGAAGAGAATCAATAGAGTTTTGACAAGTATAAGAGTGAAACCGAGTGAGTAATGGTAGAAAGGAATATGAAAGATCATAGAGACATCTGCGCCATTGAAAACGATTTTGAGCCATGTCACCTATTGTCTCCAGCCATTGATTCTTAGAGTCCCGAGGGCTGGCCCCAACCCGGAAGTCTGCATCTCCCTACCTGACTCAGTTTAACTGTCAAGGATTTCATGGATTGATGCCATGTTTTTGTTTGAAGTATATATGTGTAGTGTTTAGGTGACCGACTGGCTATGCTTATTTATGCGAGTATTTGTGCCTGTACAACTGCAGCATCCCTTTGGTTTGTCAACCTTACCAGTTTAGAATCAATTAAAAGTTGAGTAGTTGCCCAGTAGTCTTTTTTGGGTTTATTTATTGGTTAGACAACGTGTTTACGGATGATAAATACACTAGTTTTTAAAAAAAACATTCCAATTGTTTGATTGCACACTAGTCAGTAACTAGTGTAATGCGTCTAGTCCCACAGGAGGTCAATTGCGAGCCTGAATAGCTCAGTGGTAACGTGTCTGACTTCAGTAGGTACTGGGTGACGCGGGTTCGAATCTCAGAAGGGACGTGAGTTCCTTCAAGGTTGCAGATACGCCTTTCTGATAAGTGCCAACTAGCACGAAACCTAGGTCAGGCAAGGCTTCCTGCCGATTGCCTCCAACCATCTATTACCAACAATTCCAATTGTTTATACGTATTTCTCATGTTGATGTGCCTATGTGTTAATGATTTCTTTTTTCATATTTAATCTCCATTTCTAATGTGTTTCATTATCCTTATACAGTGCCTAAACCAACCACATTGCCAATTCCTGATATACATTGTACCAATGTTGTCAATCCTAAAGGCATTATTAAAATATTCAAAGTCAATACACCGGCTGTTGTAATTAATCCTGCACCATTAACCTCTGAATCAATTGATCTTCATAGTATTTTTAGTCAAATATCAAGTGTGAATGAGACAAATGTTAAAACTGCATTACGTGCTTCTCAAAAGTGTTTAGACATATTTCTTAAAGATATTCGTCGATTAGAAAATAATCTAATGCGTAATCCACCTGTAATGGAGTTGAGTCAAGTGGCTCAATCATTTCAAAGTATTTATAAATTTCATTTATTTACACGTTTGGGTAATTTAAGCGCCAGAATGCTAGAAGAAGAAGAACTCATTAACAAGACATCAAGAAATACTACTATTATCAATAATAATAATAATAAACAAACAATCTCATTCCATCCAGTGACTATACTTCCAAAAGTCAATACAATTCCAATTGCTGTTCCTATATCGACTAATCCAGTGAATATGACAATTGATCTAACAAATGAAGACAGTCCTTTGAAATCCAACACTTCAGAGAGTGGAGCATTAGTCGTCAGTTCTCAATTGATTAGTACACAACAAACAACACCTACAGTTACAAACGATATTAACAATATCAAAAGTAGTAGTAATCATAATGATAACAATAATAGTAATAATAATAATATTAATAATAATAGCAGTAACAGTTACAAAAGAAGGTTAAGCGAATCAGAAAGTGGGGAAAAATTGGAGTGTGGAAAAAAGCGCAAATTAGGTCTGATTATTGAATCAGATACAGTAAAAAAAGAGGTAATTGTTAATTGTTGTCAAATAACATGTTAATTATTATTTTATTATTGGAAGTAACTTTCGTAAACTCTTTTGCTCTTATTAAGTTACTAACTGTTTATCTATTACTTTAGTACGGTTTACTGTTTTTTTCTTAGTTTTCCATGAGCTTACATGACAGTTGTTAATAGTGGCATCTAGGAAGTTGATGCGTGTTGCTTAAGAATGCGTGAATGATGTTGATCTTTCATCATCGACTGAGATGGTTAGGACATGTGTTACGTATGCCTAGTCATCGCCTTCCTCGACAATGGGCAATGTTAGCTGATATAGGGCCAGGCTGGAAAAGAGCTAGCTGCGGTCAAACGAAAACATGGCACCAGTCAATGAAATCTACAACAGTTAGTCTAAGCCACGTAGGAAGATGTAGACTTCCTGGTTGGGGTCCTCGGGATGGTAAAAACCAGTGGTTGGAAACAATTGGTGACATGGCTCAAAATCGTTCTCAGTGGCGCAGATGCATCCACTCCTTGTGACTTATGATTTCCAATTAAACTGTTTTGTTCTCCGTTATTACTATTCCTTTGTCTCACACCTCTGTTTACTGTCTACATTATGCATTTCTCCTACTTTCTTCTCTTGCTTTTTGTGCTACATGGATTGTGGCGACTTGAACTGCCGCACATATGTGCAAAGTTCTATGTCGAAAACCGACCGACTGACCGATCTTTTAGTCATATATATACATACTGCTCAGTATCATAAAGTATGATTAATGATGATATTAGATAGTTGGAGGCAATCGGCCACAGGAAGCCTTGAACCTAGGTTTCGTGCTAGTTGGCACTCGTCAGCAAGGCAACTTTGAAGGAACTCATGTCCCTTCTGAGATTCGAACCCGTGTCACCCAGTACCTACTGCAGTCAGAGATGACGTTACCACTGAGCTATTCGGGCTCGCGCTTGACCTCCTGTAGGACTGTAGTGCTGACGAGTGCCGACTAGCACGAAACCTAGGTCAAGCAAGGCTTCCTGTCGATTGCCTTCAACCATCTAATATCATCAAATCAATGTGCACAGTGATAGCGAGCTACATAGAATGGTGGTCACATTGCAAACCTGACTGATAGAATTCAGTCTGCACCAAAGAAAGAACTAGACACGTCACACTAGTTGCTAGTGTTCAGTCAAAATGATTAATGATGTCGGTTGGTCATCATAGAGTTCGACGGCAGTTAGGGTTGATAGACAAAACAGTATGCACATAGTTGAAATAAACAATGGTAAGGACTAACTAACCCTTGGCATAAATTGATTTTCGAAATTTTAAACAACTTTATGAATACTTTTGTACCATTTTGGTTCATTTTAAGTTAAGTCCCTTTTTCATATGTAATCTACCTTAACTTATGCGACTGAGGTATTAGTGTAGTGGGAGAAGACAAGAGACTTGGTAACAGACTTTTTGTTAATGAAATAAAAACATGTGCCATATTTTTGGCTACGTTTAAGGTCGGCTAGGTCAGCGGGTAATAGGCTGTTCTCATTGGTTGTTGGCTTTCTGAAGGTTAAACCTTGAGACAAGCAATTGTCCAATGAGATTATTCCCTGATCACGACGTAAGCTAAATCCAAATTTAGTTCCGTATAGCTTTATTCGAACCTTTGCCAGACGAAGATGGGAGGTGTTCAGAAATTCGACGATGAACTTGTCTGATCTCACGCCCTATGTGACTAGCTCCGCACGGGCAGTTAAACTGGTAAATACTCATGGAACAGGTGAAACAGGGCAGTCTGTCTTTACTTCTTGAACTAAGTATTGGTCGGCTAGTGAATAAACAGCATAGCTTAGCTGCGTTGAAAGCCCTTTTGAACATTGTGATAAGATCTCACTATTGACATCACCCGTGAACTGTAACCTTAAGGAGACTGACTTTACGGCAACAGTCGGCAACTGCGACTTTTTACTTTCTGAGTTCACGTGTTTGTTCACGAATTTAGTTGGATATCCGTTTGTATGTGATAGAGAGGATTTGTAGCTCAGATGGATGATTTTGATGTGGTTGTGTTCTCTGAGCTGGATAGTTAATTTGCAAAGCTTTCATCACCCTACTAGTGAAGTATGCGCTGAAGATGTCACCTAGTAGGGTGATGAAAGCTTCGCAAATTAACTATCCAGCTCAGAGAACACAACCACATCAATATCCGTTTGTACTTAGTAGATCGCGAATATTACCGAGTTCTTCGTTCAGTGTCTCATTTGAACAGATAACTTCAGCCCTGTGAACCATATGTCAACAGTGTAATCTTATCACAATGTCTGAAAAGGGCCTTCAAAAGGACTTTCAACGCAGCTAAGCTATACTGTTTATTCACTAGCCGACCAATACTTAGTTCAAGAAATAAAGACAAACTGCCCTGTTTCGCCTCTTCCATGTGTGTTTACCAGTTTAACTGCCCGTGCTATACGCAGCTCAATACTAGCTGATCTCATCGATACTGGACATCAAATTGACTCTAACAAAGCTTTTAAATCCAGATTTGACGGGTAAACATTTCTACTCCTGTAGCCACTAACCTACAATGTTGTTTTCAATTTTGGTTACTTTCTATCAAACCGCTTCTATTTACGACTACTGATAAATCTTGTATCACACGCCATACTAGTTGTGTGTCTAATTTTGCTGTTCTCTTAATCTATCATACTACTTCAATTAGTATAATGTATTCTAAAAGTCAATAATTCAGTATATGTAATATACACATGAATTTCAGTCGCTGACGTCGGTGTGGTGTTTTGCCGCTTCATCAACAACGATGTTTTACACTTGTGGAGTGAATGAGACAATCTTCTGTAGTCTTTAAAATCAAGCGGGTTGTCACTCATTAAGATAATATCATGTATATATTCTAGTAGACAGTAAAATAAAGATTTAACAGCTGAAACACACACATACACACTAAGATTAGTAATGTGTTAGATATTTATATCTATCAGTTTCATCATTACTATTTCTCTTATTAGCTAACTGCGTCACGTAGATTTGATAGTTGTTCATCTTGGTTAAATTTAGTCCTTTTTGCGCAGTGAATACTATTTGGGTACAAAGTGAAATCTGTGAAATTGTAATTCTGTGTTTGGTTGTTAGCCTGACACCTAAACCTTTACCCCATTCACAGGCTTACTATAGGCCAGTAAGCGAAAGGAGGTTTAAGAGTGGTGCGATTGCTGGTGATTACTTACTGAATAGAGCTTTAAATTTAACTTATTGTCTATTGTCAAATGATGAGTACTAGCACAGTGATCTTGACCTGTTTGTACATAAGTTTGTTTATCTCACTTTTGATAGGGTCATATGTTTTAAAAATCGGTCTGTCAGTTTAAATAACGCTTAGATTTTTTGTTAAGAGTAGTTAGAGCATACTATTCACAGAAGAAATCGTAAATATTAAATATTTGTATATGTATAAATTAATGCTTTATGTTCTGCTATCCTATGGAGAATGATGCTCAGGAAGGCTTCGTGTGCTTTTGGAAGTGTGTGGGCGGTTGCTACTTCCCGGCTGCCCACACCATGGAAGTTGATTGATTCTTCGGGTACCTGAAAAAGAAAGAGGGTTAGTGTTGCGTGACCGCAGAGCCCAGCTGCTTGAGGCCGGTCACACACGGCCTGCATGAACTGGTTTCTTGGTTTTGTTCCGTATTAGTAAACTTACCGCCGGTTACGGACCAATGTACAATTTTTGGGGTCGACCTTTTCTAACTCCCTCTCTCCGGAGTGGAGAGACAGCATAGCTGGCATGCTGGTCATTTGAGGGAAACACCTTACTGCTGTTACATCCCTGTTCCCCAGCAGTACGACTTCGCCCTCAGACCCCCCAGCATAGTGTAAAGAAAGATTCTTACACAATGCCAGTAACTGCTTTTAGTCTAATCGCTATCGTAACAACCTTCCTGGCATGGTAAAACATGCAGGAACATTAGTTCCAGCCAGTGTAGCTTGTTGGGTCATCGCGATGTGCAAGCCCGAACACCACGTCAAGGTAGCAGCTATCGGTCGGGCTATCCTATGGGCTCCACCTAATGAGTATCACTGGCTCTTACACAACAATTGTGAAGCGCTACCATTCACGTAAACTTGTAGAGTTTCCGAGTTATATTGTTCTCATAATGCGATGCTATACTATGCTTTCGAATTGTACTTATGATATAAAAAGTCTTATTTCTCTTCTCTGTAGGATCGATTATGTAAAGAAAAGAAGCCATCTGAGGAAGAAGATTTAGAAAGGGAATTGCATAACTTGGAACGTATCTGCACTAAGGCTATTAATAGTAGTCTGTCGGAACAATCTCACTCTAGTACAGTTGAAAAAGAGCATGGTAGGTTGTCAGTCATCCGATGTTGGTGATGATATATTATCTTTTGAATCTGAATTCCAAGTGCATATACTATTTCCGTGTTTGTTGTTTTAATATGTATATATATTTATATTGTCGGGAATCCCTGAAACTTTAAGCATATTAATCAAGCTAATTCCCCTATGTTTATCACAATAAGACTTCTCACCCTTCTTATAAACCCGGATAATCAGTGAATTACACTAGTCTAATGAAGCTATCTCTCAATCACAGACATTGCTTAATCCCTTAGCCCAGACAACAGTTTATCATCACCGTCTTTAAACACCTCTGGAGTTATTCAGTCGGGTCCTACTGCTCTGCCTCGTCTCAGATTAGAGAGGGAGAGAGCCTTTGTCACCTCTGCTACATATGGATGACCGATGTCTATATCCTACTCAGGTAGGCGTTGAATGCTGGTCAAGTTAAGTGTGGATGTAGGCCAGTTATATTGCTCCTCAAAATGTTTCCTCCAACGTTCCAGTCGTCTACCCTGAGAAGTAATTAAGGTGCTGCTTTTCTCGGAGATTGTCACACTTATCATTCGCCTTTGCAACCTGTTTGGTTATGTGGTGTCGGGAGACTTCGTCTAATTCTTAGGTGAAAATTTTCTGAATCAAATCAGATGGTAGTGTAATAAGCAAAGCATGGTTCCATGTAGACAGATACCCAGAGTTTTCAAAATACAGTATATGCTTTGCTTAAAACAGTACGTAGTCGTCTGTACAATCAGTGTCCCTCAAACTTTTAAACTGAGTGGAGTTTTGGCTCCACTGGTCTAAGAGCTTGCCTTTCAACTACTGGGTCTACCTGCAGCCTAGCCCTCATAAAATAGTTGTGAGTAGCTTACTGCCAATTAAATCAAGTGACTGATATGACAAAGTCTCGATTGCTGAACATATTTCTACTCAATCTATCAAACTGTCTGTTTTTTGGAAGTTAAATGAAATTTTATGAATATTACTACCTCTTTTTTTAAAATGATGACCCATTTTCTAATATTTTAGATGAATCAAATGAAAATCTCAAACATGACAAGAAGAATACTGAGGTAATTATGCACATAGTCTGTTATTTCTTGATATTCAGTTGATTCGTTACTTTTATACTTGTAAAGCTTTGTATGTTGTTGTTGGGGAGATTAAACTGTATCATTTTCATTAGTTATCTTGAGGTACTGTTCCACATGAACTGATAATCGGTTATTAAACCATTAAAATACTGGTTTTGTAGGGATTTTGTTTGATTGGTTGGAGGATTTCATCATGAACTGACATCAGTTAGAGAACCATTGGTAAACCTAGGAGTACTTGACAACTGTCTCGTCCTAGTTTTGAACTCCTCAACTGTATGCACCCACCGTCAGGATTTGAACCAAAGACTTTCTGGTTACAAGGCGGGCCTGTAGGCTATTAAGACACTGGAACCCGATCCAATGGCCCATGAAGATCCTGTTTTCGAATCCCGGTGGGTGCATACAGTTGAAGTGTCAAGTACTCCCAGGTTTTCCAATGGCTCTCTAGCTGATGTCAGCTCAAGATAATATCCTCCAACCAATAAACCATTGAAAACTAAAGAATATTAAATTTTTTTTGGGGGAGGGGAGGAATTTGGATTAATTTAATTTCAAATTTTAGATTTCGTCACGAACCAACATCAGTTACTATAGAGATGATTGAAAGCTAGCTGGGAGCACTAGACAGCTGTTTCGTCCTATTTTTGGCATTCTTCAGCATTGTGCACCACAACCCCACCAGAGATCGAACACGGGACTTCCAAATTACTTTACCAAGCTCATTGAGCGTTCAGTCACTTTGGCCGGAATTCAATGACCCGTGAATTCTAACTTTATCAACTCGTAATATAGTGTTACTTTCATCCACTTTACCTTGATATGTTGATGATTTTGGTTCCTGACGAAATCTAACCATTGAAATTAATCCAAATCCCCACAGGTCCCTTAATTTAAATATCAATCTCCAGGTCATTCATGGCTATTAGATGGGGATGTCCTGAAGCTGTGGTAAGAAGTCGTGACCTGTGGGATCCACCATGTGAAGGTGGAGCGGAATGCTCATCGATGGTGTTGGTTGAAGGTATCTCTATATCAAGAATTAACGAAGTTAGAATTCACGTGTTATTGAATACCGACATGAATGATTGAATGGTCAACGAACATAGTCTCATAACCTGTAGTTCCAGGGTTCGATTCCTTGTGCGTTTGTGGATACACATTGCTCAAGAGTCTCATAATAGGACGAAATAACTATGCAGGAGCTCTGTGGTTTTCAATGATCTCTCTAACTGATGTTAGTCCGTGATGAAATCTAACGATTGAAATTAAAGAATATACGGTATAAATGAGTATGTCCCTTCCTAGCCAGAATCTCTAAATAGATACCCTTCCGTTTCAATGTTAAATTGGAGTAATGCATAGTCAATCACTACTACTAGTGCATTAGAGAATATTTGTTTTGTCTTAGAAGATTAGAGTAAATTACTCAATGTATTGAAAGTAACTCACACTTGGATTGTTACACCAATATCTGTAAGTTATTCATTCTTTGGTTTTTCCCCCACGCAATATGACATTGCTGGTGTGTGTGTGTGTGTAATCCATTCAAAACTCTCACTTGTGTCGAGATTACAAAGTAATATAGCTTAACCTGTAAGCTTTTCAATACACTTATTAGTAATCATTAGTACTGCAACAGTATATGCGTGAACATCTAGTATTCCAGAGAGAGATTATATATTTTCTATAGTTTGGTTTGTAAGGATTTGCTATGTTTTTACGAGTTGATCACGGACTGATATCAGTTAGAGAACCATTGAAAACCAGGGAGTACTGGACAGCTGCTGTTTCGTCCTAGTTTGGGAATCATCGGCAGTACGCACCCACTGGGATTCGAACCCAGGACCTTCCGGTTACAAGGCGAGCTCGTATACCATTCAGCCACTGGGACCCGATTCAATGGCCAGCTCATGAATTCTAACTTCTACCAATTCGTGATTTAGCGCGACCCCAACCATTGTCGTTGGTGGGACATCCATCCCTGGTTTTCAATGGTTCTCTAACTGATATCAGTCCGTGATCAACTCGTAAAAAGAGATTATGTATTCCAACAATTGCTTTAAAGAAAATCTCATTTTTGAAACATAAATGTCTATGTCTAAAGAATTATTCCTTATTTTTCTTTTATACACACTAGAATACTACTGAAAATGAGAACACTGTTAATCGACGAATAACCCGTAGGTCGTGTAAAACAACTGATACAAAAGAAGATGAATTTGAAGATGATTCATGGTCGATTGAAGATAATCTAAATTCATCATTTCAAAATAATAGTAATAATAATATCAATGCAGATTCCACTTTTGATGGTTCTGAATCAAATGATCCTCTAGTCTCTAGCAAGGATGACGCACAAACTTTACTACAAGATCAGTTGGAAAGAAAAACAAACGATTATTTGCACAATTTGAATGCTCGTGATGCTTTATTAAAATCTAGTTCAGATGATGATGATGACAGTCCCGGTGAAGGTGGCAATGATGATCATGATGACGATGTACGAGATGATGAAAAAGCTGCAGATAACCTCATCAAGAGGAAGAAACCTACTCCCGATGCAATAAATGGTAACAGCGCCAATGATAATAATATTACTGAAGATGTCACACATAGTAGTGATTCAAATACTTCTCAGAAGGATGCAGGAAAATCTCCTGAGTCATCTGATCCCTTTGTACGCTTAACGCGGTAAGTTCTGTTATTCTGTGTTTTTGATGACTGCCTACTTCACCTCCATTAAGTGTGTGATCTTCGATGTTCAAACTAACATGGCGATATTCTGACTTTCTCTGTTCGATTGGGAGTTTTATCTGTTACACTGGTAACACACATACACACACAAGTAACTAAATACGGTGTGTAGCTATAGGCTCCTGTGAATCTTGCGGCAGTACTTTCTACTTCAACGGTACAAAACAAACACTATATTGAAATGTGAAGTAAATTAGTAACTCAGTTAGTATATTGCTGTATTCTCTGGGCTTTTTACTTTAATAGCAAAGGCTTCATTGTACTTCTAGATGAATATCTTCAGCGTTAAATTAACATGATATTTTGAGGGGAAGACTCTGGAGTTCATCCACCGTTGACCCTACCGAGTAGCTTATACAGGCCCCAAGTCTCAAACTATTGCATATATATATATATTCTTCTGCCTTCATTCCTTTGCGTTCCGAGTGGAACATTAGGCTTCAAGCATGGGCTTTGAAGTTTCAGTAGCAGTGGTGTTTTTTTTTTACGAGATAAAGTTGTTACCCCCACACCCAAATTTCCCTCTTTACTCGTCTTAATACTGACTAAGCGAGGTTTAGGAATGCATCGGCCAGCAGTCGAACCTTGGACCGCCTGAGTGGTTGGTGAGCATGCTACTCTACTGAACCGCTGAGGCACATTATATACATAAGGTAAACACTTGTTGTCTGACGAGGATATCAAAGCAAGGCAAGCTTTCATTACTCTCAAGTCTGTGTGGAGGTCAACAGCATTCAGCGTCAAAAATAAGATCCGGATTTTCAACTCCAATGTGAAGTCAGTGCTACTATATGGATCAGAGACTTGGCGCGTCATAAAGAGCACGTCAAACAAACTACAGACCTTCATTAACAGTTGTCTTCGCTCAATACTCAAGATCAGATGGCCGGCCAGAAAAGATCAGCAACAGAGATCTCTGGCAATGAGCGAACCAACCAGGAACCGATTGTGAAACAAATAGGCAGGAAGAAATGGAGGTGGATTGGCCATACTCTGAAGAAGCCATCAAGTGACATCACACGACAAGCCATCGCTCGAGTGGAACCCGAAAGATGGGAAGCGGCGAGTCGGTCGTCCAAGAGTGACTTGGAGGAGGTCATGTGAAAAGGAGATGAAAGCGTGTGGGCAGACTTGGAGCCAGGTGAAGACTCTAGCAGAGAACCGAACGCAATGGAGACGCGTGGCTGAAGCCCTATGTTCCTCTAGGAATTAAAGGAAATAATAATAATAAATAATAATAATAAACACTTGTTGTAGACAGTAATCCTCTATCCATGCCACATTATAGACTGAATAATTTTTTTTGATTTGTTTAGCTTCTTTTTTTCAAGTCTCCTTTATTCTTTTCTTGACTATCTCTTTGTTGAGTCTTTTTTTCTCTTAAATTTTGTTCTTTCACTTACAACTTTAGTCTAACCAATGCGGCTGTGAATGAGAACTTGGAAAATCATCATAAAAAAGCGAATAAAGCGCATCATTCTTCACTCCTCGATGATGATGATGAAGATGACGAGAACGAGGACAACAAAAATAAAGACAATCATGATGTTGATTTAGATAAACAGAGTCAGTCAGAATCTCTTTCTAATAGGAAAGCTATTGATGCAAAGCCTAGTAGGCGAAATCGGAGAGTGCTTTCTAGTTCTGAATCTAATGCTGATGATGACGAGGATGATGATCACAAAGATAATAAAAACGGCAGCAACCATCACCTTGATGATGATGATGAAGAAAGTGAACAAAGCACATCCAGTGAGTCGCACAATTCTAAACAACAACAACAACTGAAATCTCGTCATAAAGTCAAACCGAATAAGTTGAAAACTCTTCGAATTACTAGATCACAAAAACAATTACTATCAGGCAAATCAAAAGTTCATCGCTCTGACGACGATGATGATGGTGGTGGTAATGATGATATTGAGGATGCGGAAGATGAAGACGACAGCGACAACGAAGAAGATGGTGAGAAAGAAAAGAAGAGGAAACAGCAGCAGAAGAAGACGAAGAAGAAGGCGGATACCAATTCTCCAACTGACGAAACAGCTACTAAGAAACGTCAACAGAAATCTTATCGTAAGAGAAGGCTGAGACGTGTACGCCTGGCGAATTCAGATGAGAGTGGCGATGATGATAATAATAATAGTGAAGAAGATGATGATAAGGATGACGCAAATCTAAAGAAGGCCAAAGAAGATAAAGATAAAGCAGAAAAGCATGAAGAGGAAACAGATGAAGGGCTAGATGCTAAAGGTCGGAAGAAGATAAGACGAATATACACTAATAATAAACTGTCTGAAGCTACTAAGGCTGCACAAGCCAGTGAAGAAGAACGTCGACGTCGTATAGCTGAAAGACAGAAAATGGTAAGTCTTGCCTGTTCAGTATTTTGTTTTTTATTCACACTATTATGTTGACAAAACTGATTTATTACTGATAAGTATGTTTTATGCGTGGCGATTGAAATAACATTTGGTAGATAGATATCATCATTTTTGTGCTAATGTTGTTTAACATCAGCTTGTTTAGTTTGGTGAATATACTCGGTGCAACTACTAAGTGGGTTTCATAAAAGTATGTGAGGTGAATCATAGGTGCCTGCGTTCTATCTCCCATGTTAGGTGGTATCATAGGGTGAGCAATATTGAGGTTAGGCTTCGGTTGAGTGCTAGGTAAGGAGGGGAAATTAATCGACGAGATTGTGAAGTTACATCGATTGAGATGGTTAGGACATGTGTTGCGTATGCATGCCTAACCAGCCATCGCCTTCCTCAACGGGCAATGTTACCTGACATAGGATGGATTAGGTTGGAAAAGAGAGAGCTAATGGTGGTGATCAAACCAAAACATGGCTTCAGCAGTCAATGAGATCCACAGCAGTTAGTTTAAGCCAGCTGGTCACGTAGGGAGGTGTATACTTCCTGGTTGGAGTCTCGGGATGATAAAAGTCAATGAAAGCTGGAGACGATTGGTGATATGGCCCAAAATCCTTGTTCCCAATGGCTGGCGTAGATGCATTCACTCTTTGTGATTTATTTTATTTGTTTTCCTTCACGTTCCCAGTGGAACATAAGGCTCAAGCTTGAAGTTTCTGTAGCAGTGTTTATTTTACAGGATTGGGTTGCTAGCCTCATGCCCAACCTTTCCTCTTCACCAACATTATTCAGGCTTAGGGAGGTAAAGGAGTGCGTCGGCCGGGGATCGAACCCCGGACCATGTGCATGGTCGGTGAGCGTCCTAAGCGCTATGCCACCGATGCACTTTGTGATTTATAATGTCCAATAAAATTCTATTGTTCTTCCATATTACTATTCTTTTTGCCTCATATTTCTGTTTATTATCTCTCTTTTGAATCTTTCTTTCCTATCTTATCTTACCTTGTGTGTTGCGTGGGGGGAGAGAGTGGCGACTCGAACCGCTGCACGTCGGTGCAAAGTTCTATGTTGAAACCATTCAGTCAGAAACAGTAAAAACCAAGAATTTTAGGACTACTCATGTTTGGAAATACAATAGTGAGTTGTTTTATTCCTCACGCGGAATGAATTCCAGGATAAAGTGTCTCAGGGAGCACGTTATTATTCCTGGATTGAATTGAAGTACTATAGATATAGTTCCTCAGCTATCATCAATCCACAATGTCATTGCAGATGCAATTGATGAGTAACTGTATACATATTCTATTTGATAGACCGGCTGTATTAGGCATGGCTTTTGACTAGAGCTTTTATAAGTCCATGTCAAAGCTAGTTTATAATCAATTGCGGATTGATATTAGATAATAAGTATAAGTATTTAATCGTTTTCAAGGTAAGTTTAATAAACAGAAGTCAGGAAGAAAACTTTGGTACAAAACTTTACTAGCAAACGGTTTTATTGCTGAAGTACATTGGTATGGTTGTGGATTTAATTTTGATGTCACTTGTCTGGTTGTCTCTGACAATAAGAGGATGCGCATCTTGTAATCTTGGCAGTTGAATATGCCATCCTCGACTGAGTGTTATTTTTCTCTCACTGAGATGTGACGTCGATATTTATGACACAAAAGTTATGATGATGTAATGGAAGCCTTGTGTGTTTATCACAGCTTAGGTATTAGCGTAAACCAAAGAACAGTTACTACGCTTAAATTACGCGAGTTGATGTCTTTTCGCATCGGTGTTAACATCAACCTTGTCAAGCATTGTTTGTCTGATCTCTGGAACAGTGATAGTGTAAGATAAAGTTTACGGGCAAGTTCAAATTGGATTTTACTACGTACGTGTTTCTGCGCAGGCAAAAAATGTTCATCATATATGAAGACATATTGTGACAGAAAGAATACAAATGCTCAATGACTTGACTTATATTTAAGGTTGATTATTGATTACTAGAATTCACAAACATCCTTTAAACTAAAAGATATTATATATATATTTTGTATTATGACTCTGTGTTTCTTATGGAATGAGCGCATTGAATCACAAACTTAAGTATTAGTGATACTCGTTTTAATAGTTGACCTGGTCATTGAGAGCGGAAGACATGAAAAGATTAGCTGTCTTCGATCATAGGTGTCTGCGTTCTATCTCCCGCGTGAAGTGGTATAATAAGGTGAGCAATATTGAGGTTAGGCGTCGAGTGCTAGGAAAGGTGGGGAAATCAGTCGACGAGACTGTGAAATTACGTCGGCTGAGATGGTTAGGACATGTGCTACGTATGCCTAGTCATCACCTTCCTCGACGGGCAATGTTAGCTGATATAGGGTCAGGCTGGAAAAGACCTAGCGTCGGTCAAACCAAAACATGGCACCAGTCAATGAAATCTACAACAGTTAGTCTAAGCCACGTAGGAAGATGTATACTGACTGTCTGGTTGGGGTCCTCGGGATGGTAAAAACCAATGGTTGGAAACAATTGGTGATATGGCTCAAAATCGTTGTCAGTGGCGCAGATGCATCCACTCCTTGTGATTTATGATTTCCAATGAAACTGTTTTGTTCTTCGTTATTACTATTCCTTTGTCTCACGCCTCTGTTTACTGTCTATATTATGCATTTCTTCTACTTTCTTCTCTTGCTTTGTGTGCTACATGGAGTGTGGCGACTTGAACTTCCGCACATATGTGCAAAGTTCTATGTCGAAAACTGACTAACCGACCCTTTTAATAGTTATTCTTGGTGTATAATAACGGAAGTGTCTGAGTGGTTGTTACTCTTCCCGATTGCCCACACTACAAATGTTGATAACTTCTTCGAGTACGTGAAATAGAAAAAGCATTTGTTTTGCATGACCATGGAGCCTAAGAGGAGAGACAACTGCTTGAGATCGGTAGTAGTATGCAATCTGCTTAAAGGTGGAGAATTTGAAGGTCGATCCCGATGGCTATGGAACTCTTTAAGGTTAGTCTTGATGTGTAATTTCACGAACTTCCTAGAGTGGAGAGGTAGCATAACTGACTTGCTAGTCGTCCTAACTTAGTATAAACAACCTACACTATGATAGTGAATGCTTTGTGTCTAAACCCTATATAACTGATTTTGATTTAGCATTGTGCGTCGGTAAAATGCTCGCCAACCAAGCACGTGGTCCGTGTTTCGATCCCCGGCCGACGCACCTCTTTACCTCGCGAAGCCGGTGATAAGACCGGTAAAGAGGGAAGGTTGGGCATGAGGCTAGCAACCTCATCCTGTAAAAATAAACACCCCTGCTACTGAAACCTCAAAGCTCTAGCTTGAAACCCTATATTCCCCTGGGAACGTAAAGGAATAAAAAATTGTGAGGCCTATAGGAACACTCGTTCAGCTGTTAACACAGTTGTCAGTAGGAATTAGTTACTCTCAGATGAACATATTCATGCACTGGCGTTCTCTTAAACTTACCAACTAGGATTCGATAAAGAGCTGAAACATTGTGTACAAAACTTTGCAGAACACTTAGGTTAACCTTTTGTACATCAATTTTTCTAAAATTCACTTTTAGGTTAATAATTGTTTTTTTTTCCAAAATTTCAAAGTCTTTTTGGAAATTTGGTTGATAGCATTATTATAATTTCAGTCTGTAGTTAGTTATTCGGCGGCTATTGTTGCTTTGAGTTTTGAGTACAAAAATACTAGGAGGGTAATATTTTTTTTGCAGTTAAATAATAAAAAAAAGTTTAGTTTAATAAGATTGAATTTTAATTTCCTCTATGAAATTTTCTTTACTATTAATTAGTATAATGAATTCGTTGTACAAGATGGTGAAGGCATCAATACAGTTACAACAAAGTTGATTTTAGATCCTGGTGATCCTGTTATCGAAGTACATCCAGGAATATTGAAGCATTTAAAGCCACATCAAGTTGAAGGTATGCTTAAAATACTTTATCATTGTGTGTGTGTGTGTGTGTGTTGTAATAATGTTCCTTTGTAAAAATGAATGCATAGTGCCATATTATTGACAAATTATGTAAGTGAAGTGTGCGTCGGTGGTACAGCAGTAGAATGCTTGCCAACCACACATATGGTCCCGGGTTCGACCCCCGACCGATGCACTCCTAAACCTTGCTAATCCAGTGGTAAAATCGATAAAGAGAGAGAAGGTTGGGCATGAAGCTAGCAACCCGCCCCTTAAAAATAAACACCACTGCTACTGAAACTTCAAAAAAGCTTTAACTTGAAGCCCTATGTTCCATTAGGAATGTAAAGGAACAAAATAAATAGAAATAATAATGTAAATGAAGTGGTGATTTATTGATTTGAAAACAAATTCAGTAGGATTATCATGACATAATGCTGGATTTTGTCATGTCATTAGCATCAGTCGGCTTTAGGGCTTCATAACAGTGCTTAGTTGCGCAACTGTGGAGCTATTATCCAATGATTGAGGTTGTGTAGTTGTGACCAAGTAGAGGATGACGAGTTCAAGTTTTCAGCCTGTGTTGTGTTTGTGTACTTAAGAATCATCATCGATCAGAATAATGTTGTCAGGGTTGTCTGTAATAGATTAACTAACTGATTTCAGAGTAGTTGATCATGGCGTTTACTAAAATAGTTAAACTGAAGCGTTAAATATATATCTCAACTGAAACTATTAGTCAAAGGAGCGAATAGGAAATATTTGAAGTAAACTCGTCACCTGGGTTCGAGTCCCGCTTGGGTTGGGTAACTGGGTTGTATCACCAGCATTCACACTATAAGTGTGACTCATATCTTGGTACATAAGGAATTTTTCCGGTTAATAGAGTTCTAACTAACTAATTTCTACGAACTCTGATCAACATTTGACCGTATCGTTCCATAATAATTGTGCACCGAGTGAAAATTAGACTTATGTAAAAATTATATTTGTATGAATCTCAGCGAAATTGAAATGAATCATTATAACGTTTCGTTCGGCAAGTCGATCTGAACTTCTTCAGGGAAATAATAAAGGTGTACATACATATATATATAGGACACATTTTATTTTATAGTTCTTGTCCAATCATATCTGAGTCATAATTACATTGGATTCATGTACAAACAGACAGTCTTACTAGCCCTCACAGTTTCCCTTGTTTTGAATATCTGATTAACTAATATAGAGACTCAAAGGACTTATGCTATGCTGCTAAAGTCTTCAGTTGCATTCACCATCTTTGCATTGTAGACGTTCGAATGTAGGAGATTGAGGTGTTGAGCGATTAACGTTCACAGTAGTGTATCTTTTCAGGAGATATGCAGATGAAAGTGGTTTTGCCTCCTACAATCTTTGACATTTGTTCATGAAAGATTCTCAGTAGGTTTAGTGACTGATATTTTCAATATTATTCCCTATTGTAGTTGTTATTACGCCTGTTGTTGCAGTGTACACCGTCAAATATCGTAGTTTTGGAGAAAAGCAAACAATTCTTATCCCCTCATCTTGTTAACCCTAAAAGTTTCTTTTGTTTCAGATATTATAAAATACTTTTAGCAATTTTCATTCTGCTAACTGTTAGTCTCTTCTGTGGTGATGTAATAATGTGTAGGCTTTTGATATATGTGTTGTCATTATAAACGTATGCCTGGAGATGTCTGTTACGAACGTTGAAAAAAACTGATCACAAATAGTCTTTTGTATGTGTTGATTCCCATGTTTATTTGTTCATTTCTTTTCCACTTTTTCTTCTCTTCACAACTGTAATAACTGGGATCGAATTCCTGGGTTGAACTTTGTGATTATCATGAAATTGATTACTATAGTTTACACATGCCTATCCCTATGTGCGTCTGTGGCATAGCGGTTAGGACGCTCGCCGACCATGCACATTGTCCGGGGTTCGACCCCCGGCCGACGCACTCCTTTACCTCGCTAAGCCAGAAACAATGCTGGTGAACAGGAAAGGTTGGGCATGAGGCTAGCAACCCAATACTGTAAAATGAACACCGCTGCAGAAACTTCAAGCCACTAGCTTGAAGCCCTATGTTCCACTAGGGAACGTGAAGGAAAAAAATCCCTATGAGTTATTTACATTTTGTTAGATTAGACTTTACTTGGTCGTACGTGTGAAATGTTATTGGTCGCACTGCGCTTATGATTAGTCACTGCTGAGTTATTCAGAACAGATATCTCATGTTTCCGGCAATGAGTTACGGTCATAATGTAAGATCCTATGGAATATTACCCAGTTGGGGTCGAAATTCGAAGTGGAGCACAATATCTGAAAGTCTAGTAGTAGTAGTCCTTAAGCCACTGAGACTCTGTATCACTAAACTGAGAGAAAATTGACTGATTATTACTAGTAGTGTAACAACAGAAGACAAGGGCCGGGCAACAGATTAATAATTTATAGATTTTTATGTACATTATTATTAGCGTTATTGTTAGCAGAGATGTCACGTCTTCTGATTGGTTGTTTTCTTGCTGAAGGTCATCTCTTCATCTCTTTGTTGCCGTTTCTTACAAAGTCAGGCCATATATCTGCGAATCGTATTTGCACACGTTAAGTCTGCTGTGATTGATTGGTTGGTGAGTTCCTCAATTGAATTTTAGATTTTTCCGTCGATTGATGATCACTCACTGAGAAATGCAGGTAAATCCAGATGACGAGTCCCAAATAGGATGAAATGCGCATCCTGGATTCCACTGCTAGTCACCATCCACCAATTAAATACTAGTTAAGCCTTGTTATTGTGTTTTTTTTTCTCATGACCCCGATCAGGGACGTAAACATTGACGTAAATTGTTGTCTACAATTTTTGGCTAGCCGACAGCTATCACCACAGTAGTAATAAATTTGTGTAGAATCTATCAGAGAAGTGTATTTTCTAAATTTTTGTTTTTATATATATGAAGCTAGTTTTCAAGGGGTGAATGATCTCATCGATCTCACTACGTCACTAGTACTTATTAGTTGTCGTTTTCTCTAGGCATGATTTACTTTCGACAACTCATAACCCTATTTAAGCTAGAATATGTGGGGTACGTTTTTTATGGGTCATCTGCTCATTGTTTCATAATCATCATCATAGTTGTATATTTTCTGAAATATTTCATCTTGGTCTTTTTTGTTTTCTATCACCCTCGTCGAATTCTATTTCAGCTGTTCGCTTTCTATGGGATTGTACCATTGAATCAGTGGAGCATCAAAAATCGTGCAATAATGAATCATCTTCTACAACAACAACAACAACTGGGAATGGTGCAATTCTTGCTCATTGTATGGGATTAGGCAAAACACTCTCGGTCATCTCATTCTTGCATACACTACTCAGATATCCAAAACAACTGAATATTCGAACATGTTTAATTATCTGCCCAGTGAATACATTACTCAATTGGAAACATGAATGGGATATGTGGTTACCTGAAGATGAACCTGTCGATGTATTTGAATTGGCCTCGAAAGGCAGTAGTAGATTTAAGTTGGAAATTCTAGAAAATTGGCATAAAAATGTAAGCATTATTATTATTATTTTTTCTCTATTATGCATTTTTAAATATATATTTAAATTGCTAAAATGATGTGTTCGTAAAAAGAATTGACTTGAGAGATTTCAACATTGTTCTACCCGACGTTTCATCCCATGGGGAGGGGTTTTAACTTTTTGATTGCATGGAGGATTTCATCATGAGCTGACATCAGTTAGAGAAACACTGGAAAACCTGGGAGTACTGGACAGCTGTTTTGTCCTAGTTTGCGACTCTTCATCACCCACCGGGATTCGAACCCAGATGGGTGCGTACTGATGAAGAGTCCCAAACTAAGACGAAACAGCTGTCCAGTACTCCCAGGTTTTCCACTGGTTCTCTAACTGATGTCAGCTCATGATGAAATCCTCCATGCAATCAAACAAAATCCCTACAAAACCAAAACTTGAAAATTATACTAGTGCTGCGTATTCAGGCATTAACCTGGGGTTCTAGTAGGAAGATGTGACCAGTAGGGTACAGCAGGTTGAAGATGAGGCAGTAACTCATCGAAGAAGACATTGCGAAATGGTCGCGTTATGTCGTGAATTGGCGGAAGTTAGAATTCAAGGACCATTGGACCAAGCTCGCCTTGTAACCAGAAGGTCCTGGGTTCGAATCCTGGTGGGTGCGCACTGATGAGGAGTCCCAAACTAGGGCGAAGCAACTATCGAGCACTCCCAGCTGGTTTTCCAATGGTTCTCTAACCGATTTCAGCTCATGATGAAATCCTGTAACCAATCAATCAAATCCCCACAAACTAAGTTTTAACTTTTTCACAGTTATACACTATTGTTGAAGGTCGTTGTAAAGTGAATTTAGAAAACGGTAAAACTATACTGAGGTTATTATTAATATCATTAAGTGTAAAATAAATATAATGAGCGTTCACTGTACATAAGGCAGAGATGATACCTTTTTGTTACCACATATGTGTGTACTCAATTAATTGCCTTCAACTGGAATATTTATGTTCACATGTTCATAACTTTGTTTTAATTATTATCATATCTGCCTTATGAGATACACACATGAAACAAATTTCATCATTGATTATCTTCAGATTTTTATTTATGTGTTACCACTGAGTACTACTATTCATCTATTTTGTTCTTTTTATTCTATAAAACCGTTTTAATCGAAGTCGCCTTCACTCTGAATTTTTCTTTTCCTCAAAGCTTTTTGATTGTTATTTGTCTTCAGGGAAATTTGAATGTTAGTAGGGTTATTGAATTTTTGTGGTTTGAAGACTGAGAGAGGTATTCAGCTTTACTGAAGGTAGCAGATACCGTGCTTTTATGAGTACCAACCAAGAAGGAGATGGAGCCTACCTAGTATGGTTTCGCTTTGCTTATGTAAACTTGTGTGTGAATCCATTTTACTTTGTCAATTATTGATTTTACGATATCCTTTCTCATAGTTGAGTCAGTTGAACATCTGTATTTTGAATTGTCGATTTGTTCTTCTAGTTTTAGTAGATGTAAAAAATTGTTTTATTATCGATTAGTTTTGTTCATGTGAGTGAATGTATCTGACTTGATTGGCTATGGTCTTTTTAATATCCCGGCCAACAGCGACAGCAACAACAACAGACAACAATCAGCAACATTTGGAGAAATCTGAAAGAATAAACCTCCTTTACCTACCTAACCGGGAAGCATCGTTTCAACTACAGGCGGACCAAATTGATGAGGATATCAAAGCGAGGGTCGGGGAAGCAAAGCAAGCAAGCTTTTACTACTCTCAAGTCTGTGTGGAGATCAACAGCACTCAGCGTGAAAAATAAGATCCGGATTCTCAACCGCAATGTGAAGTCAGTGTCACTATACGGATCAGAGACTTGGCGCCGCGTCACGAAGGGTACTTCGAACAAACTACAGACCTTCATCAACAGCTGTCTTCGTATAGTACTGCTGAAGATCAGATGACCGGACAGAAAAGATCAGCAACAGGGATCTCTGGCAATGAGCGAACCAACCCAGCAGGAACCAATTGTGCAACAAATATGCAGGAAGAAATGCAGGTGGACTGATTGGCCATACTCTGAGAACACAAACCATCAAGTGAGTGACATCACACACCAGGCCATCGCTCGAGTGGAACCCGAATGGGAAGCGGCGAGTTGGTCGTCAGTTCGAGAGTGGGGTGTCATGGAGGAGGCCATGCGAAGAGGAGATGAAAGCATGTGGGCAGACGTGGAGCCAGGTGAAAAGGTTGGCGGAGAACCGAACGCAATGGGAACGTGCAACTGAAGCCCTATGTTTCCCTAAGAACTAAAGGAAACAGTAGTAAATAATAATAATCGTTAATTTCTTACATGAGAAAGGGTTAGTCATAGATTCTCTGTTCTATATTAGTTAATTTGTTGGCCATTGAAATTGTTAGTCAATCTGAATGATTATTGATGACTAGAATATCACTGGAAGCCCTTATGTCGAAGAAAGTTATCTCAGAGGACAATTATAGTAGGTCATTCCTTAACATTTCTATAGAGTTACCTTATTTCGATTGACCAACTGTCGTTTGAACAAGTGTACGTTGGTCTTTGATTAAGGCACCTAACTGCCAGCAACAACCAGCAATCACCATCAACGGGAGAGATTTGAAGGAAGTCACTTTTTTTACTTATCTAGGTAGCGTCATTTCAACTACAGGTAGCACTGATTAGAATGTCATAGGTAGGATCGGAAAAAGAAGACAGACCTTCACTACTCTGAAATCATTGTGGAAATTTGCTGCACTACCAGCATAAAGAACAATTTCCGGATCTCCCACACTAATGTCAACTTAGTGCTTCTATGTGGTTCCAACAGGTTACTGCAGACTTTCATCGATAACAGCCTCTGCTGGCTCGATAGTGTGAAGATCAGGTGACCAGAAAGGGTAAGCAACAAGGAACTTTGAAAGGGAAGCAATCGAGAACTTATCTCTCAACAAATACGCCGGGGGAAATTGCGATGGATTAGACATACGCTGAGGAGATTAAGTGACTTCGCTCATCAGACAGAGCCTCGAGTAGAATCCGAATATAAAAAGACGAGTTGGGTGTGAGTTCGAGGGTGACATGGGAATTGTGTTGGTAGAAGGTGAAACATTATGGGCTATCGTGGAGCCAGCTAAGAAGTACTGCAGAGAACTGAGTGATGTACTGGAGATGTACTGTTAAAGCCGTGTTTCACTCGGAACCCAAGGGAGTAATAATAATAATAATAATAATTTCCAAGAGTTGATATTTAAAGATTTGATTTGTTTTTCAAGTTTGACCACGGATTGATATCAGTTAGAGAGCCATTGGAACAGCAGAGAGTACTGAACAGTTGTTTCGTCCTAGTTTGGGACTCATCGGCAGTACGCACCCACCGCCAGGGATCGAACCCAGGACCTTTCGGCTGTAAGGCAAGCTTCGTAGATCATTCAGCCACTGTGACCTGACTCAATGGCCAATGTCCATGAATTCTAACTTCTACCAATTCGTGGTTGCGCTAGAATCACGAGTCAGGTCCCAGTGGCTGAATGATCTATGAGCTTGCCTTGTAACCGGAGGGTCGTGGGTTCGAAGCTCAGTCGGTGTGCTGCTGCTGAGTCCGAAACCAGGACGAAACAGCTTCCCAGTACTCTGTGCTGGTCTTCAGTGGTTCTCTAACCGATATCAATCCGTGGTCAAACTTGAAAAATAATAATAATGCTGCTATCTTCTGTTTTTGCTTTAATGAGCTGTTTATTTACTTGTATTATTATTATTATTTTTCCTTCACGTTCCCCAGTGGAACATAGGGCTTCAAGCTAATGGCTTGAAGTTTCTGTAGCAGTGTTTATTTTACAGGATGGGGTTGCTAGCCTCATGCCCAACCTTTCCTCCTTACCAGCATTATTTCTGGCTCAACGAGGTAAAGGAGTGCGTCGGCCGGGGATCGAACCCTGGACCATGTGCATGGTCGGCGAGCGTCCTAACCGCTATACCACCGATGCCGTTTACTTGTATATCTGTGTATTATTCATTTGACACCTTCTTTATGATAACTTATAATGTGTATATTCGTTTCACCTTGATTTTACTTGCTTATTTCTTTTTTTCTTTTCTTAAAAGGGTGGTGTACTTATCATCGGTTATGATATGTTTCGTAATTTCGTTATGACATTAATGAAACGATCAAGGAGTAAACATGTGAAAACTACAATCTCATCAGGTTTGCTTAATCCTGGTCCAGATATTGTTGTCTGTGATGAAGGACATTTAATGAAAAATGCTAAAACGCATATATCGAAGGCTGTATCACAAATTCGTACTACTAAACGTGTTATATTAACTGGAACACCGTTACAGAATAATCTAAATGAATGTACGTTGTCTGTTTTATTTCTGTCAGTGAGAATTATTATTATTATTAAGTTAATCTCTGCCGTGTTACTTTTATTTGTTACTTATTGATAGTTAAAGAAAGTTGTAACTCAGCAGTCTTTTGCAGCTGTATGCTTGCTGTTCTCATTGGAACATAGGGCTTCAAGCTTGAGCTGTGAAGTTCCAGTAGCAGAGGTGCTCTTCTTTTATGCGTGTTGGTGTTGCCAGCGTCACGTCAATGCTTCCCTTTTTTTACCGGGCTTATCACCGGCTAAGGGAGGTTAAGGAGTGCATCGACCGGGGTTCGAACCCCAGGCCATGTGCATGGGTTTGCCAGCATTCTACCGCTGTGAACCGCAGACGTACATGCTTGCTGTGAGCTTTTACTAATTCTGTCTGTATCTGTTCTGCTCTCGTAAATCTAGCGGCAGACATTAATTCGACAATACCACTGGTTGTTGTTGTTGATATTTCAGCTCAGAGACAAGAGACGAATAGCTGTAGTTACACTTTTGAACTGACATTACGTAACTACTGGTACACAAAAATGTTCGTTCTATTGGCCATTTAGTTTTATCATACATTCAGGAAATAATACACATCTATTATTGATTAAGCTAAAGTGGTTTTGGTGTTCCCTTTGATTATCTGAACTGAACATAGTGAACATTCAATATTTGTTTCTTTTTGTCTTTCAAATAGATCATGCAATGGTTGACTTTGTCAAACCAAATTTATTAGGAACTCTTAAAGAATTTAATAATCGTTTCGTTAATCCAATTAAAAATGGACAACATTCGAATTCTACGCCAAGAGATGTTAACATAATGAAGAAAAGGGCTCACATTTTATATAAAACGTTGGATGGATGTGTTCAGGTAAAAATTAAATAATTCAACTAACACAATGCTTAATGAGAGTCCTTTGATCATATTTCGAATTGTTTTATATGTACATATGTCATATTGTCAGGAAGCCTTAAACCTCAGTGTCGTGCTTGTTGGTACTCGTTAGTAGTAAGGCTAATATACAACCATGAGGGCACTGTCCCCTCTGAAATTTGGACTCGCGTCACCTGGTGCTGCAGTTAGAGATATTACTCAAGCCTCGGATAGTTCAATGACAAAATCTCTGATTGCAGCACTGAGTGACTCATTTTTGAATTGCTCATAGTCTCTTATCTCCTCCTTGCACGATCTCCCCCATGTCACCCTCGGATGCCCACTTGTCATTTCCAATGATTGCTCGAGGACTGGCCTGGCACGCGGTGTCATTCGACGGTCCCTTCACAGTGTGTGTCCAACTCGTCGTCATTATCTTCAGCGTATTTGTTGAATAGAGGATCTTGGTTGGTTTGCTCCCAGAGTTTCTTGTTGCTAATTCTTTGTGGCTGGTCATTCAATCTTCAATATACAGCGAGAACAGCTGTTGATAAAAGTGTACAGTAGCCTGTTGGGAAGGCTTTTCGTGACGCACAGTGCAAGTTTCTGACACATATATAGAGAACTGACTGACTTCACATTGGTGTTGAAAATCCGACTACCATAGGGTAGAGTTTTTACAGGGTTTTGAGACACACCAAAATTGATGAATACCAACAAGCTCGAAACCTAGGCTTAGAGCTTTCTACCAATTGCAATATTTCAAAAGTGCAAGATGATGTCGAACCTCCTAGATTGGTTGACCACATAACGAAGTGACTGGTGGGATTCAGTCGGTACCACTAAGGATTGGCCACCTAATACTAATTGATATAATGGTGTGGAGTCTAAGACGAAGTACTCACTCACTACATTAGGCATTATCGTCGCCCAACTGATTTCTCCCTCAATGTTTCTTTCTGTTGATTCTCTTTATCACTGAAGTGATGGAAATCGGCAAGCAGTTGAAGTGCTGAACACATAATTCCATTAATCATTTGTTATGAAAGTAGACATTAGTAGTCATTGACTGTGAAAATTCTTTGAGAATATGCAAATTTTGACTTTTTGAGGGTGGTTATGTCTAGTTCACTGATGTTTGTCTAAAGCTTGTGAGGAGTGCTAAATGAGTCACTCGCCTATCAGCAGGACATCTAGTTATCAAGGTAAGGCATTGTGGAGGAAATTATTGAATATAAAGTTGTGTATCACTGAGAGATGTAGATTATTTCAATAAATAGAATGAAAGGAGATTAATGATGTTGTGGTTTTCAATGCTTTGTGATAATGGTGACTATTAAGACTACAAAGTAAAATATTTAACTAACATGCAAGCCAAGAAGGCTTAATTTTTCATGAATATATGTAACTGTTGTGTATTTTTATACCTCATACTGTTAGTATTTTGTTTAAGTGTAGTCTGAAACATAAATCGGCTACTGGCGTTTTTAAGAGTCCTACAGACTCGATCTTTGGATAACAGAAAAATGCTCTCCTTGTGTCCTACAATATCGTGGGTCTCCTACCGGAAGCATTTTAACTTTATGCATCATTTGGTTATATTTCACACGTACCATCATTTATATCATCAGCTCAATTGTGTCTTTTCTATTCACACTTGTATTTTATTACAGCGTAGAGATTACAGTGTATTAACTAAATATCTACCGCCTAGGCATGAATATGTGATAATGTGTAGATTAACAAAAGTTCAACAAGAATTATATGCCTATTATTTAGAAAATTTTAATGATCTGGATATCACTAAAAATAATAATCGAGATGATACGCATCGTCGGAAGACATTGTTTACAGTTCAACAAACACTCTATCGGATATCTACACATCCTTATGCATTACGCATACATGAAACCAAAGAAGCTCGTAAAGTAAGTTTGTATGTGTGTGTGTTTGTTTGTTTGTAATTTTTACTTTTACTTATTCTCTCAGAAATATTATTTTATGTGGATATGAAAGGATGCTTCTAAAAGAAGAGGCGTTCAGCGATATCTTTCTCAAGCTTTACAATCTGTCTGTCTGTCTGTCGGTTTACGACATAGAACTTTGCACATATGTGCGCCAGTTCAAGTCGCCACACTACATGTAGCACACAAAGAAAGAGAAGAAAGTAGAAGAAATGCATAGTATAGACAGTAAACAGAGGTGTGAGACAAAGGAATAGTAATAACGAAGAACAAAACAGTTTCAGTGGAAATCATAAGTCACAAGGAGTGGATGCATCTGCACCAGCCATTGAGAACGATTTTGAGGCATGTCACCAATTGTTTCCAACCACTGGTTTTTACCGTCCCGAGGACCCCAACCAGGAAGCCAGTCTACATCTTCCTACGTGGCTTAGACTAACTGTTGTGGATTTCACTGACTGATGAAGGCATGTTTTGGTTTGACCGCTGCTAGCTCTTTTCCAGCCTGACCCTATGTCAGCTAACATTGCCCGTCGAGGAAGGCAATGACTAGGCATACGTAACACATGTCCTAACCATCTCAGTCGTAATTTCACAGCCTCGTCAATTGATTTCGCATATATATACATATGTGTAAATTTTCTTAGTAACAAAAGAAATTTCGCCAAAGGTGTATCACTCGAGCTGTAAGTATTAGGTGGCAATTACGTAACACACGAAGCGTTAATCATGTAAGAACTGAGAATAAAATTAATTAAGGAAATGGAGTAATGTTATATAAAACTGATGGGTTTGAGCAGAATTCAACTAGTATTGAAAGAGAGTCAAGTTAACAGTAGAGGATTACGACCGTTATAAGGGTGGGGGAGTGGAGAAGAAAAATACCATAATTGAAAAACAAAAAAATTACGTATCCAGTGTAAAGACAAATTAGGTCCATTGTAGGTTCAGTGACTGGAAGAACTCCTTCTGTATGTGGAGTTTGGGATTTAACATATAGATTGCCATCGCTTCTGCGGTTTGAAAAAGTTTGATTCGTTCTCCTTTTCCAAGATTTCCGCATTTTCTGTAGATAACTTTGAAGTTGATGTGTGGGTAAGCTTGATTTCTAGATTCGATCATTTGTTCCAGGATAGAGCTCTGGTGAGGGAGGGATCTGTTTTCTTTATAAAACCACAAAGGTAATTGTCCGATGATACGTCTGGATAGCGAACTCTGGGTACGGCCAACAGGAGCAGGTGAACTGATAGATACACATTAATGAAGCCAGCGGGGGTAGCTTATCCTTTATGTTCACGCGAATCATTGGTTTGGTAGGGAAAGTGAGTCTAAGTTCATCCGCAAAGAATGTTTTCAGTGAGCGGGATAGGCAGTTTCCCAATATTTCTGCCGATGAGTCTTCATTTGAATTGTAGATTCAGATAGAAAAGTCCTTGGGTGCAGAAAGTGTAGGCAGTTTTAATGGTGTAGATTTTATGGACTTTGTGATGAAGCGTTCCGGGCAGCCATTTTCAATGAGAATCGTTTTTAGAGTGCTCATTTCCTTTTCCATAGTGTCAGGGCTACAAATATTACGGATTAGGTGACTCAATAAACGGATTAAGTTTAGTTTTGTATATGATGACACTCAACTATAGAAGTTTATGAGTTGTCTATTCCACTTCAGCTTTCTGTGGATGGATCTCTTCAGTGTTCCATCTTGTCCGCGTCTTGTTAATTGAACGTCCAGAAAACGTATTTTTGAATCTTTTGGAAAAATCCAGAGTGTTCTTCAAATTCTCTTGATTATTGAAGATATTGCAAGTATCATCCATGTATATTATGTAAAATCCACAGATGTCAGTCATTTTCTCTAAGTATGTGTATTTGAGTTTCGACATGAAGAAATCTGTAAGCCCATAGCTATACCTTCATTTTCTCTACATATTTCAATACTGAAAGAGAATCGAACACATTTAAGGTCCATTTCAACAAGCGTTCCTCCAAATAATCATCAGGTATCCCAATGTTTAACTCCTTTGAATCAATATGTTCGCATATGTAGCATAGTGTTTCAGTTAATAATGGGGCATTCGTAAACAATTAGAGCACATCTAGCAAGACAGTGATTCTAAAGATTTTAACTCATATAATTAGTTTGTCTGAGTTTATTATGAATTTTTGAAAAATTATGGATACACGTGACTTTTGCAAGTTTGGTTCTCTCCGTTCTGCAATTAAATTACATCAATTTATTTCAGTGATTGAGGAAGTATTTGACTTTATGAATTTCTAGACACTTTTGCACAGCTGTGTGCTATAGAGTTTCGACTTGTTGATGAGAACCGTATTCATGTGATGTTTATTTTCGTTATCCCTACTTTTATATTCATGCCTATAGAAATTCTTGTGAGACTCATCTTTTGTTCTATCGATACTTATTAGCATAGCCAATATAGTTCTTTTTTCACTCGCGACCCGGAGGTTACATCGGAGTCCTGGTATGCAAGAGTGCAGTGCAGCATTGCAGTCACTCATGGTCTGTCTCTGGGAGAACTCCCCGGGCCTTGGGCAGAGAGTGCCGTCCGTTGAATGCGGGTTTCCCGCTCAGTCTCCTTTCCTAACCTACGGAGAGGCATTTCGTTGCATTACATACAGTCTGTCTGTGTGTACTGCAGTGTGATACTGAGTAGGCGGACTGGATGAGTGGGCGCTAGCCTCAGGTCTACAGTTATTCGTCTGTCATCACAATGGGGGTCACGGGGCGCGACGCCTTTATTGTGCGTCGGTGGCACAGTGGTTAGGACTCTCGCCGACCATGCACATGGTCCGGGGTTCGATCCCCTGCCGACGCACACCCGATATCTATGGTCGGCCTGAATTTGGGCTACCGATATCCATGCTGAAAATTCCATACTTGTACTGAAAATACGGTGTGGAATAAAGCTGTAAATCAAAATAAATAAATAAATAAATAAATAAATTCAATAGCAGGGATTAGATTGGTTACAGGTTTAATCATGAGCTGACATCGGTTTGAGAACCATTGCGAAACCACGGAGTGCTGGTGGACAGCCGCTTCGCCTTTTATTTGGGACTCTTCATCAGTACTCACACACGACCCACTGGGGTTCAAACCCAGGACCTTCTGGTTAAAAGGTGAACTGTTAAACCGGCTAGCACGTTGACCGCTTCACTTATTTGGGAAGTACCATCAGCCCCAATGGGTTGATCTCTGACGAAATCTCAGCACGAAAACAGAGGGCTAGTTTCGCATGCCAGTTTACGCCGTCTCTGGCGTAGACGTGATATCTGACTATCGACCAAAGGGCGTGTGTACTGCTCATCAATCGGCCCCGTCCTCCTTTATGGCTGTGAGACCTGACCATTGAGAGCGGAAGACATGAAAAGATTAGCTGTCTTCGATCATGGGTGCCTGCGTTCTATCTCCTGCTTGAAGTGGTATAATAGGGTGAGCAAAATTGAGATTAGGCGTCGAGTGCTAAGTAGGTGGGAGGGGAAATCAGTCGACGAGACTGTGAAGCTGTATCGACTGAGATAGTTAGGACATGTGTTACGTATGCCTAGTCATCGCCTTCCTCGACAACAGGCAATGTTAGCTGATATAGGGTCAGGCTGGAAAAGAGCTAGCGTCGGTCAAACCAAAACATGGCACCAGTCGATGAAATCTACAACAGTTAGTCTAAGCCACGTAGGAAGATGTAGACTGGCTTCCTGGTTGGGGTCCTCGGGACGGTAAAAACCAATGGTTGGAAACAATTGGCGACATGGCTCAAAATCATTCTCAATGGCTGGTGCAGATGCATCCACTCCTTGTGACTTATGATTTCCACTGAAACTGTTTTGTTCTTCGTTATTACTATTCCTTTGTCTCACACCTTTTTTTAGTGTCTATACTATGCATTTCTCCTACTTTCTTCTCTTTCTTTGTGTGCCACATGGAGTGTGGCGACTTGAACTGTCGCACATATGTGCAAAGTTCTATGTGGAAAACCGACCGACCGACCGAGATCAGCTAGCTTCCGGGACCTGAATCAACGGCCTATGAGGACAGGCACAGATTACACAGGATGACTTATATTGTGCCTTATATTGTGAATTGATTGAAGTTAGAATTGATGGGGCATTTTAATCGGTTCCCAGTGGCTGAATGGTCTACGAGCTTACCATGTGACCAGAAGGCGGTGGGTTCCAACTCCGGAAGTTACGTACTGATGAGGAGTCTCAGACTGGGCCGAAATAGCTGTCCTGATTTTCCAGTGGGTCCTCTAATTGATATCAACTCTTGACCAAACCTGTAATTCTTTTTGATAGAAGAATAATTGTAAATATTCAACAGAATAAACATAAACCGCGATTGTAGCTGAGGCAAATATCAATAATATTGAATGAGCGAGCGTGCTTAGTGTTTAAGGTAATGCGAGCCACGTATATCTTCGCATATTTCCGTCCTAATTATTTTGAATTCTACAAACAATGATTATTATATTACATGTGTGAAAATTTTATCGCCTAATTTAAACTGTTTCTTTTTTCTTTTCCATTTTCCTTTTCCATAACAAACAAAAGATGCTTCTAATGAGTGAGGATAGTTTTATTGATGATTCCGCGAACTCATTAGAATCTTCTTCTACTTCAAGTAATTCAGCTCCTTCAGATACTAGTGAAGACGACGACGATGATGATGATGGTGTTGCTGATGCTGACGACATTGTTGGAAAGAAAAAGACTAAAATCGATGAAAATGGTGATGATGATGACGATGTTGACCAAAAGACCAAAGAGAACAACAACAACAACAGTACAGTTAATAAAAAATCACTTAGTCGACGTCGACGTCGTCTTCGTCGTCCTTTAACTCGTCAAGAAGCAAAAAATCCAACAACAGTTATCCTTGATTCAGACAGTAACGATGATGATGATGATGACGATGATGATTCTGACAGTGTTACAGATATTGATGGATCTCAAAAACCCTGGTGGTATCAATTTTATAAAGATGAATATGACTGGCAAATTAATGTAGGCGCTAAAATGGATGTTCTCTTTAATATATTGAAACGTTGTTCAGATATCGGTGATAAAGTGATCCTGTTTTCGCATAGTTTAATATCATTAGATTTAATTGAAAAGTTTCTAGCTGAAATTAGTCGTCAATGGTCAGTTCTTCAGGTAAGATATTTGAATTTATTTTGTTCATTTATCAATTTCTCATTTGATGGTCGTGGTGGTGCTGTTGGGTAACCTCTGTTGACAATATTTCAATATACATACATTTATAGTCACTGGAGGATGTATGTCTGTGACAATTTTTTCCAACAGCCTACTTCGTAGTGGATAGATGATAGATGGTCATCATTTTATTGTAATTGTGAAAGAGAAAAGAGAGAGATAAAGGAAAAGAGGCTGTTGGAAAACCAAAAAGTTCAACAAGGATAGATACTGTTGATTGCACACTAGTCAGTAACTAGTGTAATGTGTCTAGTCCTATCTTCGCTGCAGACTGAATTCTATCAGTCACGTTTGCAATGTGGCCACCATGCTAGGTGTCTCGCCATTACGGTGCACTGTGAATTGTTGGTATTAGATGGTTGGAGGCAATCGGCAGGAAGCCTTGGACCTAGGTTTCGTGCTGGTTGGCACTCATCAGCAAGGCGTATCTGCAACCTTGAAGGAACTCATGTCCCTTCTGAGATTCGAAACATAGGTCCAAGGCTTCCTGCCGATTGCCTCCAACCATCTAAGGATAGATACTATTTAATTGAGACTGTATCAGTCTTCTTGATTGTTTATTCGCAATGGATTTTATAGTCCCTATTGTGTAAACACATCGGTAGTTCTAGTGAGAAGTCGTGACCAGTGGGGTCCACCCGGTCGGGAGTGAGGACAAATACTCTCCAGTGACATTGGCTATTCGTCTTACCATACCTTGAATTGACAGAAGCTGGATGTTATGGGCCATTGGATTAGGTCTCAGTGGCTGAATTTCCTACAAGTTGTTCACCTTGTAACCACGGGTCCGAACCCCGGTGGGTGCGTACTGCCGACGAGTCCCGAACTAGGACGAAACAGCTGTTCAGTACTCTCTACTGGTTTCCAATGGTTCTCTAACTGCCATCAATCAGTGATCAAATTTGAAACATATCGGCTTCTATTACTCAAAGTCTGACAATGTCTGTGGGGATTAAAATGATGTTGCTTGGTGGGAAGTAACTAGCAGTAGAGTTCAGAATGTGCGTTTCGTCCCATTTGGGACTTGTTAGTTGGATGTACCTACAATCACAATCCTCAGCAACAGAGTATGTGATGATGTTTACACTGAGACTCGAAGCCAGCATTCAATGTTCCAATACGTGATTATAAAAAAAGAGTGATAATTAATCACAAACGGGCAAAGTTCGACTTTCGACACCGATAATAACCAATCAGCAAACGACCTTGAACGGACCAATCACATGAAAGAGGCGTTTATGATAAGTGGAAGCGTATATTTATAAAAAATGCATAAAAAAAGGATAAAACGGTTACAATGGGTATCTTTCCCGAATATGGGACAGGAACATCTCCCAATTCAGCATGGGACTGTCAATAGAGAAGTCGCACCACATTCTATACATATATTCGTCTAAATGACTATAAATCAGATCCTTTTGCGATCCATTTATAGCCCGGATCCTATTTTTCAATCGACCCCAAAATCCTTCAATGGAATTCGTATGAGTCCCTGTAACTGGATCCACGAAATCATTTGAGTGGTTCACTCTGTGATGAATGTATCCCAGGGATGACAATGAATCATAACCTTTCCACTCGTCGGTATGTACAATTGATCCCCTTTTGACAAGTCGCGTTATAATAGGTATCAGAGTACTCGCCTTCCTGTCTGCTATTCTTTCAACAAATCCTTTTCGGAGGGACGTGTCGTATAAACCTATTACCCAAATGTTGTTCGCTCTCTGACGACCACGGTTATATTTCTTCTTCACCAACACTGTCTCATCCACATGCACTACTACGTCCTCCCTGCCTAACAACGAAGTAATTCTCTCCATTTTCCATGAGGCGATGTCTCTACAGTGCTGATACCATTGGACTGTTGAGACGAGGCTATTCTCCGTCTCCGCAGCTGCCGCTCTCACTGGCTGCATCAATACCCAATAGTTGCAGATATACAAAATCTGGGTTAGGGAGAGATGCGACCTAGCAAAGAAAGTTCCTACGAAATATTAAAATTAGCAGCTTACCCTCTCTAATACTAACTCGCTTCCAGCATATTCCACAACGATGGGCAAATCCATCAGTTGACCTCATATAGCTTTTTAGAGTCATTACACCACCACAGGAACAACTTCTCTCCTTTCGAAGCAACCCTAAGTCCAGGGAATACTGAAAGACACTATTCTCCTCGAATTGCAAACGTAACCTTGTAAGGGCACGCATTGTAAATGAATCAAGTGCTCTAAAACATTGAACTACGTTCGTGAATCTGATTGGATAATTCGACGTCGTTCGCTGATTGGTATTTATTGGTGTCTAAAGTTTAACTTGGCCCACAAACGATAGTGAAGCGAGATGTATATTCCATGTGACGTTGACTAAATTACCTTTCATTGATTTATTTTCCCACGTCTTTATAAAAATAGTTTAGTTAATAATATCAATAAATTTAGGACTGTTGAATGTCTTTCAGTCTTTTGATACATTCATGTAAATTTTTGAAAGTTCATGTACTTTTATTTATGTCCATAAAGCTGCAATAATAGTAGCATATAGATACTGTGAGCTTTGATCGTTTAGTTCAGTCTAGATGACTTACTGTTATTCAGTGATATTATATCTAGGAATGGGGTTAAGGGAACTCCTGAAATGCACAATGGTTTTTTTATCCTTCACGTTCCCCAGTGGAACATAAGGCCTCAAGCTTGAAGTTTCTGTAGCAGTGTTTATTTTACAGGATTGGGTTGCTAGCCTCATGCCCAACCTTTCCTCTTCACCAGCATTATTTCTGACTTAGCGAGGAAAAGCAGTGCGTCGGCCGGGGTTCGAACCCCCGGACCATGTGCATGATCGGCGAGCGTCCTAACCGCTTTGCCACCGACACACAGCACAATGGTTCATTGCCCTTATTACATGCATTTCCTTCTACTACTACCTAATATGTTTTCTGCATTATGTGTTCATCGTTTTCTTCTCTCTATCTCTCTAGAACCAGTCTTCAGACCAGAAAACGGAAGAGAATGCTGAAAATGCTGATACATTAAATCGTCCAGATTTATCATCATATTTCTCTGATATCGGACATAATACATGGATACGTGGTTTAGATTATGAACGTATGGACGGTAGTATGAATGTGAATGTACGCAAAGATTTACAGGCACGGTTCAATTCAACAAGTAATACACGTCTACGATTGTTTATTATATCAACGAAAGCTGGTGGTTTGGGTATTAATTTAATCGCTGCAAATCGTCTTGTCCTACTCGATGCATCATGGAATCCAAGTCATGATATACAATCAATATTTAGAAGTTATCGTTTTGGTCAGCATAAACCAGTGTATATTTATCGTCTGATTGCCCAAGGAACAATTGAAGAAAAAATCTATGATCGACAGGTATATACAATTATTTTATATTAATAGTAATTAACATAATGTATCCTAGTTAGTGTTAAATAAATGCTACAATTGAAGTGTGAAATGTGGCCATTGAACGTTGGGGTCGTATATCGTAATGTCAAGTGAAATATTCTCCTCCTTTTGGCTTTCATTGTTTTACCTAATTTATTATTATTTTTTCCTTTAGTTCCTAGAGGGACATAGGGCTTCAGTCGCGCGTTCCCTTTGCGTTTGGTTCTCTGCCAACCTTTTCGCCTGTCTCCACATCTGCCCACATGCCTTCATCTTCTCTCTGCATGACCTCCTTCATGTCACCCCACTCTTGAACTGACGACCATCTCGCCGCTTCCCATTCTGTCGGGTTCCACTCGAACGATGGCGTTTTGTGATGTCACTCACTTGATGGTTTGTACTCTCAGAGTATGGCCAATCAATCCACCTGCATTTCTTCCTGTATATTTGTTGCACAATTGGTTCCTTCTGGGTTGATTCGCTCATTGACAGAGATCTCTGTTGCTGATCTTTTCTGTCCGGCCATCTGATCTTCAGCAGTACTATATGAAGACATCTGTTGATGAAGGTCTGTAGTTTGTTCAAAGTACCCTTCGTGATGCGGTGCCAAGTCTCTGATGCGTATAGTGAAACTGATTTCACATTGTGGTTGAGAATCCTGATCTTATTTTTCATGCAGAATGCTGTTGATCTCCACACAGACTAGAGAGTAATGAAAGCTTGCTTTGCTTTCCCGATCCTCGCTTTGATATCCTCATCAATTTGGTCTGCCTGTAGTTGAAACGATGCTTCCCAGTTAGGTAGGTAAGGGAGGTTGCTTCTTTCAGTCTCCTCCCATTTATGCTGATTGTTGTTTGTCGTTGTGATTGCTTTTGCTGTTGGCCAGGGATCTTCATCACCTCTGTTTTCTCTATGTTCACCTGAAGGCCTATCTTTGATACTTCTTCTATCGCCAACTTGTTGCTTATCACTTGCATATCACTTGCATATCTTCCAGTTTGTGGGAAATCAGACACATATATGTTATCGGCGAAGTCCAGATCCTCCAAGTTTTTTGTGTGAGTCCATTTTATGCCTGTTTCTTCGCTGTTCTCCGTCTGTCGCATTATCCAGTCTACCGCAACCAGGAAATTCATTGGAAATAGTAGGCAGCCAGCTTGTTTTACTCCCGTCTTCACTTCGAAGGATTCCGTGAGTTCCTCGTTGTGGATTACTTGGCATACAGCATTGTCGTACGACTGTTGGCTGAGATGTATAATTGTCGGTGGCACCCCGTAGTAGCGAAATAGTTGCCAAATCACCTCTTGATCGACGAAATCGAAGGCATTTTCAAAGTCGATGAAGTTGAGATAGAGAGGTGACTGCCATTCCAAGCTCTGTTCAATGATGATCCGTAGTGTTGCGATTTGATCGATGCATGACTTGTTTCTCCTGAATCCAGCCTGTTACGGTCGAAGTTTTTCCTCCAGGCTGTGTTTGATTCTCTGCAGGATGATGCGGCTTAGTATTTTGCTATGGATAGACAGAAGCATAATGCCGCTCCAGTTCTTTCTCAGTTTGAATAAGTAGCTTTTCATCTAATCTGCAGATACCTTTCCCTCTTTTCACACCTCCAGTAGTGGTATCATCAAGTCCGCTGATGTTTCTGGGTCCATTTTCAATGCCTCTGGTCCAGCTGCTTTTCCAGTTTTTAGCATATTTAGTGCCTTCAGGATTATTTTTCGTTGGAGAGTTGATGTCCACTCGCAGTTTTGCTTCCGCTGCTGGTAATATTGGGGGCGTTGTAGGTGGCGGTCGACTTAGAATTCTTTTGAAATGTTCAGCTCAGTGTTTCCTTTGCTGAACCTTTTTGGTGATTAACCTTCCATTGTCATCCTTCACTGGCTTAATTTGTGTTGAACTTTTTTCGATAGGAACCTAGTTGTTTGGTAGAGTGTAGCAAGGTCTCCTTTGCCTGCAGCTTGTTCTGCTTCACTTGCCATAGCTTTTTGTCTTCTTTGGCACTTTTCTTTACTCTTTTGTTCAGTGTCTTGTAGCTTGCATTTAACTCCTGTTTTTGTTGCTCGTCGATGCATTGGATACTCTTTTGTTTCAACATCCTTCTCTCTTCTATTAGTCTCCATGTGTCCGTAGTGAGTCACTGTTTGTTCTGTCTCTTCTTTCTGCCTAGGACCTCCATACAGGTTTGACTCCACACACTTTTCAGGCTATTTCAGTGCTTTTCAACGCTGGTCTCTTCGCTAGTGTTGATTTGTGTCTCCGCCTTTTTCCTTATCATTGCAGTGAAGATATCCTTTGTATCCTGATCCTTCAGTTTTTGAGTATTGAACTTGGCTTGTGGTTTATCTGCAGCTCCTGTTTCTTCGAAAGTTTTTAATTTGATTTGGAATGTTCCTTTTATGAGATAGTGGTCTGAGCCAACGTCTTCTTCTCTTCTTACTTTTGTATCCAGTAAGCTGCGTCTCCACTTTCTTGAGCAGCATTGAGATGATGTCTATTTGTTTTTCGGTTAACCCGTCTGGTGACACCCATGTAGCCGTGATGCTATCCTTGTGCTTGTATAAAAATCTGAAAAAGATATTATATATTTAGAGGAAATGAAGACAGATAGTAATTTAATCGCTAAATGACGTTTTCTTCTAGTAAATTGACTCTTCTTTTTAGTTAAATATTAAACCGAAGTAAAGTTAGTCTTCCGTTTACGTCACTATCAGCTTCATCAGCTTCCTTTTCGTTGACCTTTTATCACTATTCGTTCTATCTTCTGTGCTAAGTGGTATACTACGGTGAATAATATTGAAATTGGGCGTAGAGTGACAGTGATGGAGAAGAATTCAGAGGAGATGAGGTTGCAAAGGTGAATTGATTAACATAAGTAGGAACACGTGTGTTATGCTTACCACCAGGCCACCACCTTCCTTATCGACCTATGTTAGATGTCATAGGATTAGTCTAGAAGAGAATTAGAAGCGGTGTGTGAAGTCTTTGACAGTTGGTTTGCACGAGATGAGCGCAGGTATAGAGACTGCCACTTTGGTTGTCCTTGTGATGCTGAGAATCAATAGCTTGAGGTTGTTGGTAATGCGACTGGAAACTGTCCTCAGTGGTGCACCTAATAAACCGTTGCCTTTTTCCATGTTACTTACTAGTCGTTCTCCCGTACATTTTTGCCGATGATAGTTATTTCGAATCTCTTTTATCTCTACGTTTGTGTGCTGCATGGTGATAAAGTGCAGCAACTTGAACTGGTCCACTTCTGTGTAAAGTCCTCTGTTGAAACTCAATTAGTATGTTAGTCAGTGTTTTGTGCGTGGATGGCACAGCGATAGAATGCTCGCCAACCACGAATGTGGTTCGGTCTCCGGCTGACACACTACTTTACTTCTCTAAGGCAAAAATTAGACTGGTAAAGAGGGTCGGTTGGGCATGAGGCCAGCAACCCTGTACCGTAAAAATAAACACCACTGCTTCAGAAACTTCAAGCCTCTAATGTGAAGCCTTATGTTCTACTGGGAACGTGAAGGATTACAAAAGAAGCCAGTGTTTTGTCAAAATGAAAGGAATTGTAACGTTTGTTTTCTCAATACACGTTGTTAGATTCATCATGAAGAGAAGAGGTGAAGAGGTTACCAGAGTAAAGATGCATTCTATTACAAATGTGTAATGATCAAAGTTATACATATAAAGTTGAGCATTGGTGTTAAATAACTACCCTACAAAATTCATTAGGAAGATCAGAAAAGGCCAAAAGCAAAATAAAAATAATGGTGAAACTAATAATGATACCATAAATAAGAGAGAATATAAGGCATCTACAGCTTTACCATATAAGAAGGGGACATATGAGGCCCTACGTATGATTCTCAACAAATCAGAAATTAGAGTGGCATTCAAACCTACAAACTCACTCAGATAGGACAAGCTCTGTAGGCTAAAGGACCTGGGGGATCCAATTCAACAAAATAAGATAATTTACAAAATACTTTGCAATGACTGTGAGTTAAGTCAACTACATAGGGTCAAAACTAGTAGATTCGGAGTAGTGAGATTATCAGAGCATCAGAATTTAGCTAAGGTAAGAATGGTTGACCCCACACGAAGATAAGTAATTTAGAGAAAAACTCAGCTATATAGCACTGCATGCATTAATGCACAACCACACAATAGGGTGGGACAGAGTCAAAATTCTAAAAATTAACATAGGTAAGTGGAGAGAAATGTTCATGACTGAATCTTTGTTCATCGAATTTGCACCCAACACATGCAATAGGAGTGATTCAACGCAAATACCAGAGATATGGAAGATATTATTACCAGTCAAATCAGAGGAGGATAATAAGTAATCTTAAAATTCTACTTCAATTCACGTACGTCATAACATTCTAGCAAGTTACTTATTTTTACTGTAAAAAAACATCTTATTTCCCATCTGATTGTATTTTATTCATAACACTAATATTATTTCCGAATGTACTTTGATTAGACATATGGATAAAATCAATAAAAGACAGTTTTTTCCTCATGTCTATAAATGAAGCAAAAACTTGTGTGAGTAGTGCCTTGATATAATTATGAGTGGCAGTAATGAATTGTGCTCAAAACGTGGTTACCAATAAATATTTATGTATAACACTTTGGGATTTTATGAAAATAAAATTTTATCTATAATGGAGTTCTACTCTCCCACAGTGTCCAAGTTTTATCCTTATATTATATCAATAATACTTAATGGTGTTGTTGTTCCTATTGTTTTTCCTCTTAGGTAACGAAACAGTCACTATCACTACGAGTAGTTGATGAACTACAAATTGATCGACACTTTTCAGATGATGATTTACAAAAATTGTTCACTTTTGAACCAGATATCTGGAATCCTGAAGATGATAATGATAATGATAAACGTCCTACACCGATATTGCCTAAAGATCGTCTGCTCGCTGATATGCTTACAGAATATCGACATTTAATAGCCACCTACCATAATCATGACTCCTTATTACAGCACAGGGAAGATGAAGGCTTAACAGAAGTGGAACGTCAAGAAGCCTGGAGAGAATATGAAGAAGAAAAACAATACGGTATGTCATTAGCTGAACACCAGCGTCTGGTAATGCTGCAACAACAATGGATAGCTCAACAACAACAACAAATTCAACAACAGCAACAACTATTTCATCTACAATATCTTCAACAACAACAACAGCAACAATACCACCACCAACAACAGCAACATCAACTCCAGCATTTTATATTGCCAAATTTCCAATTCCCTACAGTCTCATCACCAAATACTAGTGGGCAGACAATTGTGATTAGTGATGATAATAGTAATCATAGTAATAACGATAGTCAAGTGGTGACGTCACCACCAGTAGTGCATAGCGGTAATGTTGTTTCACCTAATAAAAATACTAAGAAGAATACTAAGAATACTAATACTACTGTGACAAATCCAGGTTCTCCTACGATGGCGATGGCGACGACGGCAGCATCTGCTAACAACTCCACTAGAAATACTACTGATCTTCATCATTCAGTTGGTTCACAACTGATTACCGATATTAATACCACTGCTAACAACAGCAACAACAACACTGGGAGCGGTAGTAATAGTAGTAGTGCATCGGTGGCTGTCCATCCGTCTAGAATTCAACAAGCACGTTATATAACACCGGCGATTAATAATTTGCCAAGTTAGTTAGTTAGTTAGTTAGTTCATCCATTAATACACGTGAATGTTTGCTTTAATATTTTTTTCTTGTCTGTTTCTTTTGGAAAGCACCAGTTTTTGAAATTGTATATATAGAGAGATTATGCATTGTTCTCCCATAGGACACTTTTTTCTGGGTGTGCACATTACTCTTTCTACTGATTATATGTATGTATTCACACAATAATAATCATAAAGTTCATAACAATACACAGCTATAATGCAGTTTAGACTGAATTATTCTCCTTTGGGTTCCGAGGGGAACATACGGTTTCAACAGCACACTTCCATTTTACTTACCGCCGGCGTCCGACAATCGTTATATTTCTTGACCTAAAGGTGGCATTCGATTCTGTCAACCAAGAGGTTCTCTGGCGATGCTTGGCTGTAAAGGGAATGCCGATAAAATACATTGCCCTGATCAAGGCATTCTACTTGAACTCATGCAGTCAGCCAGGTGAGGGCTTACGGCGAGTTGTCATTTGAACTGGTGACAACTAGTGGTGTCCGTCAGGGATGCCCACTCTATCCCCATTTCTATTCAATTTCATCATAGACGTACTAATGGACTTAACTCTAACTCACTTCAGAGACTCAGGGATTGACTTGTTGCCACCAGGGAATAATCTCGTTGACTTAGAATGTGCAGACGATATAGTCCTTCTAGGCGAGGATGCTGACAAAATGTAGAGTCTTCTGAACACCTTGAGCAGCAATCTTCGTATGTTTGGCATGCGATTCGCCCCTGTAAAATGTAAGATGATGCTGCAGGATTGGACTTCACCGACCCCTAGATTAGAAATAGGAAGTGAAGTGGTAGAACACGTTGACCGCTTCAATTACTTGGGAAGTACCATCAGCCCCAATGGGTTGATCTCAGACGAAATTTCAGCACGAATACAGAGGGCTAGTTTCGCATATGCCAGTTTACGCCGTCTCTGGAGTAGATGTGATATCTGTCTGGCTGTCAACCAAAGGGCGTTTGTACTGCTCAGCAGTCCGCTCCGTCCTCCTTTATTACTAGCTGTGAGACCTGGCCATTGAGAGTGGGAGACATGAACAGACTGTCTAGCTAGCTGTCTTTGATCATAGGTGCCTGCGTTCCATCTCCCGTGTTAAGGTGAACAATATTGAGCTTAGGCGTCGGTCGAGTGCTAGGTAAGGTGGGGAAATCAATAGACGAGACTGTGAAGTTACATCGACTGAGATGGTTAGGACATGTGTTACGTATGCCTAGTCATCGCCTTCCTCGACAATGGGCAATGTTAGCTGATATAGGGCCAGGCTGGAAAAGAGCTAGCGGCGGTCAAACCAAAACATGGGTCCAGTCAATGAGACCCACAGCAGTTAGTTTAAGCCAACCAGCCACGTAGGGAGGTGTAGATTTCCTGACTGGTTGAGGTCCTCGGGACGGCAAAAACCAATGGCTGAAAATCGTTCTCAATGTCTGGCACAGAAGCATCCACTCCTTGTGACTTATAATTTCCAATGAAACTATATTGTTCTTCGTTATTACTATTCCTTTTGTCTCATGTCCCTGCATTTCTTCTAATTTATTCTCTTGCTTTGTGTGCTATATGGAGTGTGGCGACTTGAACTGCTGCACATCAGTGCGAAGTTCTTTGTCGAAAACAGACACAAACAAACCTACATTTTACTGGGTCCCGTGCAGTCCGTTTTAGCTGGCTCCACGATAACCCATAGACTTTCATTTTCTGCTCCTCCTCTTCGCACAATCTCCTCCATATCACCCTTGAACTCATGCCCAACTCCGTTGCTTTCCAATCGTGTTTTCTACTCTAGGGCTTGGTGCGTGATTTCCACCTGTCTCTTCAGTGTATCTCTCCAATCCATCTGCATATATGTTTAACGGTGCTTCCTTGATTAGTTCCTTGACGGAGTTCCTTGTTATTGGTTCACTGGTTTACTAGCCAGTTCTAAACTCCGGGAAAAGAGGGTAGGCTGGGCGTATGGAGCTAACGACCCTTACCCTGGAAAACCAATCCAATCGCTACAGAAACAAACTTCAAAGCACAGCAAAAAAAATACAAAAAAAACATTTTTATTAAAGTTGAAAGATTTTGGGGAAGTCTATTGTTCTTCTGTACACATAATTTGCAATGCATGAGATTATTCCAAAAATGATATCATCGCTAAGTATTAATTAGTCTTCTTAATGCCTTGTTTAAATTTATCGAAAGGATTAAATGGTTTCAATTTAGTCTGACATAAAAACCTTACATACAAATAATCAGGTTGTGACATGCTTTCCAATATGAGGAAGGACTTCTAACGTGTGAAGTGTAATTTGATGCGAATAAAATTAACTTTTGTATCAAGCAAAGAAACCCCAGAGAATACAGCAATATACTAACTGAGTTACTAATTCCCTTCATCATTTCAAAGTATAGTGTTCGCATTTGTACCGTTGAAGTAGAAAGTACTGCTGCAAGATTCACAGGAGCCTTATAGCTACACTCCGTATCTAGATACTTCTTTGTGTGTTGCTAGTGTAACAGATGGAACATACAGAGAAAGTCAGAATGTTATACATCAAACTGAGTCGTCACCTGTGATGCGCTATCTTCATGTTAGTTTGGACATCGAAGGTCACCTAGTTAAAAGAGGGGAATAGCAGAACTTACCGCGTTAAGCGTACAAAGGGATCAGATGACTCAGGAGATTTTCCTGCAGAATCAGTACATGAAGGTGTTTCCTTCTGAGAAGTATTTGAATCACTACTATGCGTGACATCTTCAGTAATATTGTTGTCATTGGCGCTGTTACCATTTATTGAATCAGGTGTAGGTTTCTTCCTCTTGATGAGGTTATCTGCAGCTTTTTCATCATCTCGTACATCGTCATCATCATCATCTGAACTAGATTTTAATAAAGCATCACGAACACTTGAGTGGTGCAATAAATAAATAAAAATTTGTATATATATTAGCTGGTCACAACTTCTCATCAGGACTCCAGAAAACTCCGTCCTGTAGCCAGTCAGCAGCATCAGATTAATTTTCAAAAGTTTGTTTGTATGGATTTGATTTGTTTTTCATGTCTAACCACAGATTGTGAAATCATTTAGAGAACCACTGAAAATCAGGGATTACTGGACAGTTGTTTCGTTCTAGTTTGGGTGGGACTCATTGGCAGTACGCACTCACCATCAGGGAGGGTTCGAACTCAGGACGTTACAGTGGAGTCCATCCTGTTGGGAGTGAGGACGAATACTCGCCGACTTAATTAGTTCTTAATGTGCTATAAGTATTGATTTCAGTGTCTCTTTAAACTTGTGACGGTATGATACAGACAATGTATTCCACAACGGAATATAGTTCTCACATATTCCCACAGTTCCATACGGGATTAGCAACCGAATACTATGTATGTTTGAACTTCCTATTTCGTGTAAACCAAAATCACACGCTGAGTGACTGGTTAACGAATATAAACTATATATATATATATATATCTTCACGTTCTCAATGGAACATTGGGCTTCAAACTAGAGACTTGAAGTTTTTGTACCAGCGTTTATTTTTACAGGATGGGGTTGCTAACCTCATGCCCAACCTTTCCTCTTTACCAGCTTTATTTCTGGCTAAGCAAGGTAAAGGAGTGCGTCGACCAGGGATCGAACCCCCGACCATGTGCATGGTTGGCTAGCGTCCTAACCGCTGTGCCACCGACGCATTTGAAAATATACCTTGGCTTCCGTACCTCTTGCCTTCTGTATGTTACAAACTGACTCTTCGTATATTGTAAGTGTGGTTCAATATCTAACACATCCATTCATACTAATTCCTGTGGAGGTATAATTCATCTTTAGAAGTGATGAATATACAGATACACTATACTGTGCTGTAGTGTTTTTAGTTAGTTGTATGACACATACTGGCATACATAGGAAAATTCTTCTTTGTAAATAGTGTTCGTCACTATTATTATTATTCATTGAAATTTGTTTTAAAAAAAAGTACTCTGCTTCTTTTAGTCTATAACCTTGTATTATTTGTTTTTTTTGCTGTTTTTTTATTATTTTGTGATTTATTTATTTATGTATTTATTTATCTATACTTAACTTTTAAATTATTCATTAGGTAATGCTTATGGTCGAATGTATTCACAAGTTCGTCGTGGTGCTATCCTTAAAGATCCCAGTTTAATATCAGATCCAGAGAAATTGGATAAATTAACAATGAATAAATTAGTGAGTGTATTAACCACTCCAGTGCTAGTCAATACCGATGATGTACATGATCCGAATCCTTTTACAATGATGAGAAGTAGTAGTAAAGCATCCCACAATCCACAATCAAAAAATTAATTTACACTATCCATTCACTATCATCCAGCTTTTAAATCTTCATCACACAATTGAATTAACACAGATATAATATACAAAATTGTACATATCTATAATCATAATGAATGAAGTATAAATTTATATATAGGAGATATTTAGCAATGCTTTCACCGTTGTTGTTGTGACACATACATAATTAAATGGTATAGGTATGGGTGTGTGTGTGCGTGCAGGACTGTCTGTCATTCATGCACCGTCGTTGCTTATAGACACACGCACACAAAATTTAAGAGAGACCAGTTGGTTTGTTATGAAACGTATAAACATGTGTAAATAATAATTATATAATATTAAGAAAAAGTATTCACTCTTTAATAATATATATATATATATTTATTCACATACATAAAACTATTATATATATATATTATACTGTGCAACACACCATTGTAATCCTGTGTAATTTTTCTTTCTTTCTCCGCCCCATCAAACTTTTCGTATCGAGTTTAAATAATTTTGTTCAACCTGTTCAGTCTCCCTTCTTTACCATAATGAATTAAATAATAATAATAGTAATAATAATAATAATAATCGTAACTATGTAAACCTATGTGTATATAAATGTGATTGTACAGTTGCTTTTGAAGATGATAATCTATCTCTATTCTGTGCTTTTTGTTCTTTTGTTTCTCTCAATCACTCACTCTCTCGCTAACGTCCTGGTGGGAGGTAATTTTTCAGGATTATCCTAATTTCAGACTATGCGATAATTAATAAAGGGGAGAGAGGAATTGGAATAAGTTGTTTCCGAATTCACTCGAAATTTAGGTAAATAAAGTTCATCATACTTAACAACATCATAGGCCGGCCGACCACCGCCAACTGTGATGCTCACTAGCAGCGACTGACCCTATTCAGGCAGTTATCTGGGGTTCTAGTGGGAAGATGTCACCAGTAGGGGACAGAAGGTCGAAGATCAAGACAGTAGTTATTCATCGAAGAAGACATTGCGAAGTGGTTGCGCTATGCCGTGAATCGGCAGAAGTTAGAATTCATGTGCTGACCATTGGATTGGGTCCCAGTGTCTTAATGGCCTATGAGCCCGCCTTGTAACCAGAAGGTCCTGGGTTCAAACACCGGTGGGTGCGTACTGATGAGGAGTCCCAAACTAGTCTGACGAAACAGCTGTTCAGTACTCCTTGCAGGTTTTCCAACGGTTCTCTAACTGATGTCAACTCATGATGAAAATCGTGAAACCAGTCAAACAAAATCCCTACAAATACCAATACTTTTTTAAAATGTGTGGATTTTCACCTTCATGAATAATCCGCATTCAGACATCAATGAAAACAAAACACCGTAGTTCAGCGAAGAGTCTCTATTCAGCGAATTCATTCACCTCTTTAGCTGTACAATTGCAGTTATATATATATATTATATATATATATTATAATTAAAAGAAAAGGCGTTCAGAGAAGACTTACTCTTTTTGGGCGATAATAATTTTTGTACGTGTGTGTCAGACAAGAACAAAATTGTAACTAGGATTGGGGGTGGTAGGGTGAAGATTTAGTAGGAGGCTAGTGGTGATGAGTTGTCAAAAAATAGTTGTTGGTGTTAGTCAGTGCATAAGAGAAGTTGAACAAGTGTATTGTAGTTACTTAATAAAATGAATTGATTAGGATGTATATAGAAACGACGGAAGCTATGGGATTATGTAAGACTTGTAAAGAAATACAAAGGTTATAAGGAATTAGAAAAGCAGGCATACAACATAAACAAGTCAAAAGAAATCAATGCGGTTGTTTCCATGATAGTAAGAAGTGGTTGAACAATTTTCTTCTATATACACAACCCTTGTTTTCCTAACTGAATAGCCAAGGCTTCAGCAATACAAAGGAGACAAAAGCGTATTGCCTTTGGTAGGTTATTCTTGACTCTGTAGATTGCTTTGAGGGAGGCGTTTGGTGAGACAGAATGATTAGTGTTGACAAGGTGTTCGGTTGTCGCACTCCTTATAGAGCCATCACTACATTTTCGCAGCCATGCGGGATAGTGTTCTCGAATCCTTTTGGACAGGATACGCGTCGAACAACCAATGTATCTGGCTCCACAGCAACAGGTGAACTGATATATGCACATAGAAGTGGTCAGATGTGAGATCTTGTCCTCCTGCAGACCGATGGACGACTGGAGAACACTACTCTTAGCGTTGCTGCGAAGAATGTTCCTCTCAAAGATGCTGGAATTCTCCTCTTAAGGATATCACAGACTAAGTCTCCTTTGAAATCCAGGTTCATGTAAAGTTTCTCTTTTGGAACAAGTAATGTTTCGTTCCTCTGAACTTTCGGTCTGATATTCTTCACGATGGATGTTGGTGGTTGTCCATTTTAGATGAAAGTTTCTTTAAAGAAAAGAGTTCGATATATTTCCAATCATTCATGCCTATCAGTTGTATTGGCGAATAATCAATGCATAACTGATAATTCTTCGTTGTAAAGCATATTAAGAGGAAATTCATCATATGAGTAAATAGTTAATTGGTGGATGGTGACTAGCAGTGTAATCCAGGATGCGCATTTCGTCCTATTTCGGACTCTTCATCTGGATGTGCCTGCATTCCCCGGTGAGTGATGTTCCCACCGAGGCTTTGGGCACTGGGTTCGAGCCTCGGTAGGAACATCACTCACCAGGGAATGCAGGCACATCCAACCGACGGGTCCGAAATAGGACGAAATGCGCATCCTGGATTTCACTGCTAGTCACCATCCACTAATTAAATTCTAATTACATGCCCAGACATCGTTATAGCATCTGCACAAGAAGCCGACATGTCAACGTGAGACCGAGCACTTCGGTCCAATCAATCGACAGGAAAATCTAAAATTCAATTAAGTAAATAGTTAGTTGTGAAAGTAGTCTAGGCCGACTGCATTAAGATTAATTGATTTTTTTTGTGCCAATAATCAACTTACTACTAGTAATTATAAGTGATCTTAGTCATACTCTATAATATCATACCTTCAAAGCTTAGTCACATCTCGGCATAATCTAGTCGATGGTGACTCGCCGTGTGTATAATCCATGACGTGCATTTTGTCCTACTTGGGACTTGTCAGCTGGTGGTATTCCCACCGAGGCAAGTACCTATCGTTCCAGTGGGAGAATTGCAGGTACATCCATGTGACAAGTCTTAAACAGGTGTCTTGGATTCCACTGCCAGTCACTAACCACCAAATTACTTCAGATATCATTGAAGCGTTCCTACTAGGAACAGGGATCGAACATTTCGGTCCAATCAATCAACGAGGAAATTAAACTTGACTCAAAGACAAGTCTCGGCATGTTTATGAAGCTATTATAGTACAATAAGCCCGAAATAAAAGAAAATAAATCAATTTTCGAAAAAAGATGTATAATTAAATCCTGTTGGACGTTATTCAGAATTCCGTGGGTTGTAAATTAGAAATCAAACAGTTCATGTTCTATAGGTTATGACTCTTTACCACTACAATAACTCAGGTGAATGACTGTAGGATGAAATTGCCTGGAGTTCTATTGAGAAGTCGTAATCAGTGGGGTACACCGAGTCGAATATATGAATAAGATAAAAATACTTACCGACACCATTGGCTAGCGGATGGGAGATACATTGTGAATTGGTAAGAATTAGAATTCATGTGCCTTTGTATTCCGTCCGTCTCAGTGGCTAAACGGTCGATAGGCTTACTTCATAACTTGAGCGTCCGGGGCTCGATCTCCAGTGGGATCATGTGTGAGTACAGTTGAAGGGTGCCAAATCTAGATGAAACAGTTGCTCCATACTTGTTGGTTTTCAGTGTTTCTCTAGCTGAAATTTGAAACCAATCGAAGTCCTAGGATCCGCCACTTGGAGTCTCCAGCAAACGATTGCTGATTGAAACATGAAACCTCATAAAATAACTATAAATGTTTGTACTTCGTATTATGAACATTTTATTAGCATTGAGACCTTCTAGTTTCATACTTTATAGTGTAGATTTCGAACACGAGTTATCTACATATAAAGATATTAAAGTAATAGCATCTACTTTGCATTAACTATGAATAGAATAAACAACCTGATAGGAAAGAAGGAAGTCATGTTTTCTGATGATTGGTACTGGTTTCCAGAGTCACTAAGAGGACTGCAACGTAGGTACTTTTGAGTAACGAGTCTGAAGTAAGGTAATATGTGCATTTCGAATTTCCGTGTTTACTTCCGCCAATAAACAAGGGAGAGAGAGACGGATTTTATACCTGCCATTCAGTAAAATGACTAGCAAGAAAAAAAAACACTAGTCTAACTTCTTTATAAAGTTGAAGTGAAGGAAATGTGTCATGCACTAGAACTTTTAGTCTAAGCTATATAGATTTTCCCAAGCTGATAACTGATGGACGAAGACAAAGTGTGTAGTAAGAAAAAAGGATCATAGTTTTGATGAAATAACCCGTCTATATTCGGTTTAATAATTCATAATTTCCTCTAAATCATTCTACCCTCATATACGACCGACGATGGGTAGACTTCGGTCTTCTTCTCGAAATGCCGCCACGCGTTCATAGTCTCTGTCAGGCGCGTCTCATCCACTAACCTTACGCCACAGCGAAGGTGTTCCTCATGAAACTCGAAGGACGAATACGGATGTCTGGCGCTTATAACTTGGATGGTTGACGTGCTGGTCTACATAGGAGAGCTGGAAAACTCTGATTCCAAACACAAGGTGTGTGTACATGGGCTCCAGGATCCGAACGGATCGAATGGTGTATGAAGCTGGTTTAATTACCGAAAACTATAAGGGCGTAGCTCCTGACACTGCTGGAGTAGACTTCAAATCAATGGCTCGAAGGCGGGGTTGGCTCTTTCTTCGGTGATGCCAATTGAGCAGCATCCCAGCCCTCGGGCAAACTACCAGATTTTGTGCGGTATATGTCCTGGTACCAATAATGAAAATAAAATAAATTAAACTATTCCATTCGTATTATTTTCCCTCCTTTGTACCCTTGTCACCATCTATTTGTGACACGAATATGACAACTTGAGTGAGCTGTTAAAGAACACAATCAATTCTTATTTTGATTAACACCTGTTTGGTCTGAATTGATACTTACATGCAATCTAGCCACAGTGAATTCGACTAACCCATTCCAATGGAAAATTCTTGGGGTGAACATTTTTTCAAGTGTTGGCCGTAGGTTCGAACCCCGCTAGGTGTGTAATTCTGAACAGTCCCAATCTAGGACCAAACAGCTGTCCAGTACTCCCTGGTTTTCAAATGGTTCTCCAAGTGGTGTCACCACCTCGTGATCATACCAATTGAACCTCTGCGAACTAACAGCTGAAAATTAATCTGATGCTCACTAGTGACTGGCTCTATACAGCAAGTTATGTGGAGTTCCAGCGAGAAGTCGTGACCCACGGGGTTCACCAATTCGCTGATGATATTGGCCAGTGGTTGCGCTATACTTCGCGAATCGGCAAAAGTTCCAGTGGCATAATGGTATACGAGCTCGCCTTGTAACCAGAAGGTCCTGGGTTCGAACTTCGGTGGGTGCTCACCGATGAAGAGTCCCAAACTAGGACGAAACAGTTGTCCAGTACTCCCAGGTTTTCCAATGGTTCTCTAACTAATGTCAGCTCATGATGAAATCCTGTAACCAATCAACCAAATCCCTACAAATCAATACTTGAAAAGTTAGAATTCATGGGTTATCAAACCGATAGTGGGGTCGTGGATGCCTGCTGCTACTGAAGAGTCCAAAAGAAGGAGGAGCACAAGCTGTCCAGCACTCCCTAGTAGTGGTGGTTTACAATGGTTCTCTAACTGATGTCACAGCTCCTGATCAAACCTGTACACAACCAAGTGTTCTACATAAATCTATGTGTAATAAAAGTCATTCACACATGAATCACCACCTTTTATTTTGAAATGTGAACACTAACAATGCCCATAAGTGAATTATGCTTATCACATTTATGTTAAATAATAATATTAGATACGAATAAATATATTGCATGATTGAGGAAAGAAAACAACAAATGACCATTGCGCACAGGCACACAAGTACAGAATATTCATGTAGAATATCACTGATTACATGGAAGAGGAGAAGAAACAAAGGACAACTGGGAAATATTCTTCTTTACAATAAGGAAAACAGATTGTGTGATAAAGAAGGGAAGTTATCAAATTCAATGAATGAAGGAATGCTAGATTATTATCACATTTGATTATGATTATCATTATTATTTTGATAGCTGGTAGATAAGAGCAGTAGATACACATTTCAAATTATTGGAATGAACAGAAGAGAAAAAATAATGAGGAAAAACTCCCTGAAGAAATAAGAAGTTATGTGTATTGTGTGCGCGCCACCTTGTTATTAACATGACGAAACCAAAAGGGGGACATTTAAACAAACTAGTAAGTATTCAACTGCTTACTAGAAGGAAAAACTTCAATTATATCTCAAAATAACATCAACAAAAAAACAAAACAAAAGAAGACAGAAAATATTAGTGACAAAATATACCTAAGAATATGAATTTATGATATGTAGTGAGTGGGCCGGTGGGTGGGTTACAATTAACTTGTAATTGTCATGTTATGTCATGTTAGATAGATAGATAAACTTTTGTCTTGATTTCAAGAGTAACGCTGTTGAAATTCATGATGCCATTGATTGAAGTCGACAAAGAATACAGCTACACAGCCTGATTTGAGACCAGCAAAAATAAAACTATAGAAGAAAAAAAAAGAAAAGTGATGAATAGTTTGGCATAACGTGTAGTGGCAAAATAATAATTAAATATGCGCGCCAGTTCATGTATTGATCATTTGATATAATTGCACGATTAAAACAATAAGAAGTGCATAGTAGGCTTAATAAAACATTAAAATAGAAAAAAGTGAAACTACCTGACTTTCATTTTTTTTACGATTTGCACATGAATACTATAAATATGTTGCGTCGGTGGCACAGCGGTTAGGACGCTCGCCGACTATGCACATGGTCCGGGGTTCGATTCCCGGCCAACGCACTCCTTTACCTCTCTAAGCCAGTAATAAGACTGGCAAACGCTGGGCATGAGGCCAGCAACCCCATCCCGTAAAAATAAACTCAGCTACAGAAACTTCAAGCCACTAGCTTGAAGCCCTATGTTCCACTGGGAACGTGAAGGAATAAAAAAAAAACTATAAATATGTTAATCAGATAAGATTCATGTTCAATGTATCTTAGATAAGGAAGAACAAAGAAGGAAATTGCAGCAAATTCGCCATCGATTGTGATTCTTGGCTATATCTGATAACATTTTCAGCCAGCGATTCGAACTGCCTTTCGGGTAGTGCTGCATCAATTGACGCTAACCTAACATAAATGTTCTTCATTTTACGGCACCATACCATAGGTTAGCCACCAGTCCGCTTTTTCCATCCAGTATCAGGGTTAGCAAACGATGGCCGATACGAAAGCATCTGTGGTGACGCTCATAGCACATATCCCAGCCACCGAAAACGGTGTTTAAACATGACTACACTCAATGAATGATGACCTTCATCATGTTCAAGCATACACTCTACCGGACCTCAGAGTTATTCGCATAACGATACCATCGGATGCAATCAATTCTAAGGAGGCAATGCTGATCAAATATACCGACTTGCGGCACATCCTCAGCTCAGAAAAGCCAAGTTTTACAGGTGTAGTACAACAAGACTACGTGCACCGATGCATTGTAAACTAGGCCTTTAAAAGCCAGGTTGATGTAGTGACAACCCCATAGGTGGCCCGAATTAGCATCTGCCATCCTAGCTTTCATTATACAATTAAGGATTTAGTCCGTGACACATCCACCAGCACTCACACAACTAACTAGATACACGAACTTGTCGACAACTTCAAGAGGTGCAGATACAGGTTCTTGCCAATCTTGCTGAAGTACATTGCATGTAGACAGCTTAAAGCTCATACCATACTTATAGGCACTGATTAAGTGAAATTTGGACAGCCTGCATGCTACTGCATAATAAGACGATGTAGAGTGCAAACTCCAGGAAGCAGATCTACACCACCACCAAGCATGCCTGATCTATAAAAGGTCATGGAAAATGAATTAAGTTTTAAACTGATTATAATTACTAAGGTGTCTTCATCCAGTGTTATTTCAAAACGACTATATTACAAGTAATCATAAACATGCATTGAATAACAACAATAATAAACAGTAAGAGTAAGAACGGTGCGTCAGTGACACAGCGGTAGAATGCTCGCCGACCACGCATGGGGTCCAGGGTCCGATCACTGGCCAGCGCACTCCTTTACTTCACTAAGCCAGGAATAAGACTGGTAAAGAGGGGAGGTTAGACACGAGGCTAGCAAGCCAATCCCGTAAAAATAAACACCACTGCTACCGAAACTTCAAGCCTCTAGATTGAAGCCCTATGTTCCACTGGGAACGTAAAGGAATAGAAAAAAAAGAGAGTAAGAATAGAAGAAAAGCATCATCAAAGTGTCACTATAACTTACCGTTGGTCATGACTTAAGCTTAACGATTCAACTGATGTATCACATTTAGGAAATGCATGAACTGGTAGTAGATTATAACTTCTCAATATCCATATTACACCATCATTACCAGCGACTAGGATATAACGACCACAATCACTAAATAGCATAGCATTGATATGATAGGCAATAGATGAATTTGTATTATTCGATAGAATACTTAAATCACTGGAATGTAATAATTTCCCATTTAAACTATACAGTGATAACCAAGAATGATCGAATTGACCAAGTAGATAACCTTCACGATGATATGTAAACAAATTTGGCTCAGGCTGCTTGGAATTAGCCAATTCAACTGGAGGTGTTGAAGACGATGACGGTAATGGTGTCGACACTTGATCAAGTGTTGCTGTTGTATACGGTGAGCATAATGAACGTAGTAGTTCACCACGTGTTGAATGCAACAGACAAGTCCCGTCTAAATATAATAAGAAAAAAACGATAAATTGATTACTACAATATCTGTGTATACTAAGAACGAATTCGGCAGACGGTTATCGCCTGGTATTACTGTAGATTTCAAATAACTGTTAAGATCTCGAAGTGCTGTTTTGCGCGGATTTGATTTAACTGGTTATATGATTTTATAATCAGCTGACATCATTACGAGAACCATTGGAAAATCAAAAGGGAGTGCTGGACAGCCACTTCGTCCTAGTTTGGGATTCATCGGCAGAAAGCACCCACCGAGGTTCGAATCCAGGACCTTTCGGTTACAAGGCGAGCTCATAGACCACTAAAACCACCAGTGGGGTACAGCAGGTCAGGTGTGAGGACAGATACTCGCCGATAACATTGGCTAGTGGTCGCACTATATCGTGAATTGGCAAAAGCTGGAATTCATGAGTCATTGGAACAGGTCTCAGTGGCTGAATCGTCTACGAGTTAACCCTCTAATCGGAAGGTTGTGGGTTCGAACTCCGGTGGAAGCGTACTGTGAAGAGTCCTAAACTAGGAAAAAACAGCTGCCCAGTACTCCCTGGTTTTCCAATGGTTCTCTAACTGATGTCAGCTTATGATGAAATCCTCTAATTGTTGAGATCATTTGACGAAGTAGGTGTTGATAAAATTGTTATACTGTGTTATAAATACATGTTAGGTTACTGAGAGTTAATTATCACACTGAATGATTAAACATGGTGCTGGAAAGAATGGTGATCACTTTCAAGCCGGTAGTCCATACTGAAAGCACTTTTACTCTTTTTTCATTGTATTATTCCTCTGTTATAAAGTTTTTCTCTTTTAAGCCTTCCCCCCACACACCATATCATCCCAACTTCTCGTTCGCTTCATTTTTATTCATTAATATTGGTTTAATAAAACAAAAATTTGGTACATTACGGACATCAAAAGGGATGCACCACACAAAATATTATAGTTTGTACGGCGGCTAGGATACTGCCCATCTGTTTTAACAGGCCACCCATCGAGCCTTCGACTTGAGGTCTGATCTACAAGGCAATGGAGCTGAGTATCCATGATTTCCAGTGACCAAATTAAGTGCATAACGTCATTCGATTCACCGGATTCTAGAGCCCACTTACACACACCATAGGTTTGGTATCGGGGTTTTCTAACTCCCCTGAGTGGACTAGCGTGTCCATCAGTTCGGTTATAAAGCATCAGAAGTTCAAATTCACCCTTTGACTTTCGTGAGGAATATCTCATCCGAGGCGTGAAGGTAGTGAGTAAAACTTACCTGGCAGAGGTTATAAAGGAGTGGCGACATGAGAGCATTTTGAGAGGAAGACCAAAGTGTACCCGTCCCTGGCCGTACCAGGTCATTTATGGGGATAGTTGGAACGATGAACCTCTACATGAGACGTTTAGAAGCTACTATGTCTATTTAACCAACTTATTTTTCCAAAAATGTAATTTTTTGATATTTTTGATTACAGCTTGACTCTACACCGTATCTTCCTGGTATATGCATGCAATTTTCAGCATGCGATATCGGTAGCCCAAATTTTGCAGGCCGACCATAGATATCAGGTGTGCGTCGGCAGGGGATCGAACCCCGGACCATGTGCATGGTCGGCGAGAGTCCTAACCACTGTGCTACCGACGCACTAAATTATTTACAGTCTGTTATTGAAAACTAATCATCCTACAGAAGTGACATAGAATTCAAATGGCAGCTATACACTTTGTGAGATAACAGAGACAAAAGTCATCAGTGTAGTTTAATAAAATTATTAGAAGGGAATAGTAAATTAACACTGCATTTCTTAGAACTCTTTTGAATACAAGGCTAAAACGGCTATGTTTGTATATCGCTACTGCTCTCCAGTTATAGAAAAGTAGGTCAACTGGTTCTGTCTCTGTCTGTCTGGATTCAACATAGAACTTGGCACCGAAGTGCAGCAGTTCCAGTTGCCACGTTCCAAATAGCACACAAAGGTAGACGGGAAAAGGAGAGAAGAGAATCAATAGAATTTAGATAAGTATAAGATTGAAACAGAATGAGTAATGGTAGAAAGGAATATGAAGGTTAAAGAGACTGGATACATCTGCGTAAGCCATTGACAACGATTTTGAGCCATGTCACCTATTGTCTCCAGCCATTGATTCTTAGAGTCCCGAGGGCCCCAACCCGGAAGTCTGCATCTCCCTACCTGACCCAGTTTAACTGTCAGGGATTTCATGGATTGATGAGGCCATGTTTTTGTTTGGCCACCGCTTACTCTTTTCCAGCCTGCACCTATATCAGCTAGTAATGCCCGTCGGGGGAGACGATGGTCAGGCATGCGCAGCACGTGGCCTAACCATCTCAATCTATGTAACTTCATAGCCTCTTCGAGTGATTTTCCCTCTTTGCCCAGCACTCTACGCCTAATGTCAACATTACTTACCTTATTATACCACCTAACGTGAGAAAGAGATCGTAAACATCTGTGGTCAAAAACAGACAATCTCTTCATGTCTTCCGCTCTCAATGGCCACGTCTCACCGCCATAGAGAAGGACGGAGCGAACTGATGAGCAGTATACACGTCCCTTGGTTGACAGCCGGATGTCACGCCTACGCCAGAGATGGTGTAATTTAGCGAAAGCAGCCCGAGCTTTCTGGATCCGTGCTGTGATTTCGTCACCAATCAATCCGTTGGTGCTGATACAACTTCCCAAATAGGTGAAGTGGTCAACATGTTCTATCACTTCACTCCCTATCACTAAGCTAGGAGTTGACGTAGTCCAGTCCTGTAGCAGCATCTTACATTTCACAGGGGCGAATCGCATGCCAAACATACGAAGATTGCTGCTCAAGGTGTTCAGAAGACTCTGCATTTTGTCAGCGTCCTCCCCTAACAGGACTATGTCGTCTGCGTATTCTAAGTCTATAAGACTATTCCCTGGTAACAAGTCGATTCCTAAGTCGTTAAGTTCAGTTAAGGATACTTCCATTAGCATATCTATGATGAAGTTAAACAGAAAAGGGGAAAGTGGACATCCTTGACGGACACCACTGGTTGTAATCAATTCAGATGACAATTCCCCATAAGCCCTTACACAGCTACGTGAGTTTGAGTAGAGTGCCTTGATTAGTGCAATGTACTTTCTTGGCACTCCCTTCATAGTCAAACATTGCCATAGAACCTCTCGATCCACGGAGTCGAAGGCCGCCTTCAAGTCAAGAAATATGGCAATTGTTGGACGCCTAAAAGTGTGTCTATGTTCTAGGATCTGTCGGAGAGTGAAGATATGATCTATGCACCCTCTACCTGGCCTAAAGCCCGCTTGATTTTCCCTCGTTTGTTCCTCCCGAGTTCGGCTTAGTCTGTTCATGATTACTGAGCCTAGGATTTTAGAGACTATGTTCGTTAAGCTGATCCCCCTATGATTATCACATGACGACTTGTCTCCCTTCTTGAAAATCGGTATAATAAGTGACTTACCCCAGTCTGATGGAACCGTCTCTGATTCCCAGACGTTACCTAGTACCTTAGTTAAACTATATACCAGTATGTCACCCCCATATTTAAATACCTCCGGAATAATTCCGTCGGGTCCTGCCGCTTTGCCTCGTTTCAAATTACAGATTGCTTTGGTGACCTCACTTACAGACGGCGGGCCAGTGTCTGTGTCCCACTCGGGTGTGTGCTGGATGGCGGGGAGGCTCAGTGTGGCTGTAGGCAAGTTAAACTGTTCCTCGAAGTGTTCTTTCCAGCGTTCGAGGCGTCTATCCTGAGAGCTAATTAAGGAGCCATTTTTCTCACGAATAGTCTCACTTATGATTTGCCTTCTCCCACCCGTTTCCCTGATGAGTCTAAAGAGTTGCCTAGTGTTGCCTATCGCCGATGCTTTTTCCATCTCTTTCGCCTTTGCCAACCACCACTGTTCACGGTCCTTGCGGAGACTTTTCGTAAGTTTCCTTTTGTGCAGCTTTCGCTCCTCATTGAATTCGGAGCTCACCGGAATAAGTCTTCTAGCATCTATCAGTTCGGATGAGGCAGTCGAAATCCAATGGTTTTTACTCACCTTTGGATTTACCTTATTCACAGCTTTTACAGCTGTATCTATGGCTGACTGAATATTTTTCCAGGCTTCTTCAGGGTGAGCGCAGCTGTCGAACTCAGATATGTGTTTAGCTAGTTCTTCCTCAAATAGGGACTTAGTTTCCAGATCGAGTTGGGGACGTGATGGGTTGGAGCATCTCGGTTCCGCTAATGTAGATTACTTTAAAAAAATAATTCGCATAAGGTGTTCTAAGATAGATAACACTATTTTACTGTGTTCACTTTCAAACAACCCGCCCAAACTAAATAATTTATAGGAGCACATGTTTTCAAAAAAATCGCTGGCGAAATCAAGAAAACTTCAAATTTATTCTACTACAGTTAAACATTTCAACATAAATATCTTGAAGGACAAAGGGATATACATTTCATTTGTACCAAACAAAACTTTTATTATTATTATTCCTTTGGGTTCTGAGTGGAACATATGGCTTCATCAGCACACCTCTATTTCAGCCTGTTCTTTGCTGTCCTTTCTTTAACTGACTCCACGATAGCCCATGGGCTCTAATCTCCACCTCACATGATCTCCTCCATGTCAGCCTCGGACCAATGACCAAACTCTTCTTTTACTATTCAGGTTCCAGTCTAGGGTTGGGCTGACTTTCAGTACCACTCAACAGTCTCCCTCCTCGTATGTGTCCGGTCTTTGTCGATTTACATAGGCATATTTGTTGGGTAATAGGTTGTTGGTTGGTTGGTGGCTTGCCAGAGTTCCTTACTGCTAATCCTTTTTGGCGATCTGATCTTCAGTATGTAGCCAGACAAGGCAGCTGTTGATAAAAGTTTGAAAGCCCGTTTGAAAACTTATTTCATTTAAAAATAAAAATACAAAGAAATAACTTGACAAAGTTTATGTTACACTTACTAACTGATCCACTCAGTACTAGACCCAATTCCGCTGATAAACTGATACACTTGATACTAGCTTCATGACCGTTCAAGATAACAACTGGCTTAGGTGTACCTGGAAATAAAACGTGTTTTTAATAGGAAAAAAGAAGCAAGTGAAAAATTAATACACTAAAAATTTGAAATACTAAGAAGTTGTAAGTGCATATTTTGGCAGAAAGGAGCTTGCATAGATAGTTACTTTCAGTTGTCAGATTTCATCACAAATCAGCATCAGTAAGAAAGATCACTGAAAACCACAGAGCACTGGACAACTGACCGAAGACGTTGGTGAGGGTAGTGCTACATTAGGAGTAGGCAAAATTTGAATTCATGGGTCATTGAATTCCACCCCAAGTAGCTGAATGGAGCTTCGCCTAATAACTTGAAGGTCCTGAGTTCGATCCCCTGTGGGGTCATGGATACTCACTACTGAAGACTGCTAGCGGTTCAAGTGCACCCTGGTTTCAATGATCTCTGTAACGAAACCTATGGGACAGTTGAGTCCGATAATAATAAATATGTACAGTTTACATTAGTTCAGCAACTTATCTACTAATGTAACGTGTGCTACTGAGAAATTTAATGCGTGACGTCTTCTGAAAGGATTTTGAATAGTAGAGAGACTAATCAATTTGTGAACAAAGGGAGATAAAGAAAATTTTGACTCTCCATACAGAAAGCATGAAATAATGAAGACAAAAGAAGCAGAGCATGAAAACTTCGTTACAACTACTGTAAGTGATTTCGATTAATCAATAATCCTGCCAAATGTGCCTCTCTGCGTCCCACTGTTACACTACATGTTACTAGACAAAATAAAGCTTACTAAAATGTATGTTAACCATTTACTTCCAACTATGTTTGATTAAAGTTGAGTGTTTACACCATTGAGTGCATAGGTGAGTAATAAATTAGGCATTATGAAGTATTCATAGGTAACTTGGGTGCCTCTATTTTATTTCGCCAAACTGCAGTCCTAGCACGCAAACATATATATATATATCATGACAAAGGCTCATGTAATGAGTGCTGATGCATGCCTTATCTTTGTTATAAAACCTTTAAGAAGATTTCCATGCTATTAGATGACTGAAGTCAATCGGAAGGAAGTCTTAGACCAACGTTTTGTGGCCCTCGGGACACGGTCAGCAAGATGTAACTTGCAAACTTCAAGGAATTCATGTCGCTTCGAACTCGCGTCACCAATTTCTGAGGTCTGACTGCCTCCAAACATCGCTTCAGAGTGTATTGGTGATGGCGAGTCACCTAGAATGCTGGTCCTGTTGCAAAACATGACTGGAAGAGTTCAGTCAGCACCAAACGAAGGACTGGACGCATAATAATAGTTGCTAGTGACCAATCAAAACATTTTCTTGATCTTACTTCTCTAATGTATCTGTTATTGGGTGACTACGTTGTTAGAAGTCAGTTACTCAGAACACACCTTTCATGTATCAAAACATCGACCGCTCTTATTGCGTGAGGATTAATGAAAATACCACCTCAATTGCTAAGGCTGAGGTAGACAGAGTGGGATCCAAAACTCGAAACCACTGACTAAAAGTTGAATATGCATAAACCAATGAGAATCAGATCAAACCAAAAGTATTACAGCTTTCATAGGCTTTCTGTTAAACCCAATTATTGACAAATGAATATACTCAACTACGCACCCGCCAAGCCACACAATCACGCAGAGTACAATGAAATAATGAGACCTAATTATTGTTCAACCTTTCCGAATAACATTTTTTTTCACTAGTAAGTGCGTGCATCCATGTTTGTGTATGCATTTATTCACTACTTCAATATAAAGCGATTGGATACACATAACTTGCATTCAAACTCATAATCTATCTTTGTTAAAACACATGATTATTATTATTAAATCATTTTTTGTTGAGAAAATTATCATACTACTGATTTCTAAACATAGGACTTACCTTGACTAGTAACAACACATAAACGTTGCATACTGAACATCCATAACATGACAGTACAATCTCGACTACCAGATGCCAGATAGTAATACTGGCTAAAATGACATTCTGAACGGGCTAAGCAAGTAACAATATCACTATGACCAAACACTGCTTGAATTAAACGATCTATAAAACAAAATGTGTTTATGTTTTTATTACAACAGAACAACTAGACAAAAAACAAACAATTAGAAAATAAAAAGCACAGGTTTAACACTATTATTACTAATATATTTAGTGGTAGTGTGCGTCCGCGCTTCAGTGATAGAATGCCTGCCAACCATACATGCGGTACGCAGTTTAGATCCCGGCCGATGAACTCCTGAAGTTCACCTAGTTTACTGGCAGGTTAGTAGACCCAGGCTTTAAGTCTGGAGCGCTATTTCTCACTCGGAAGGCAAAGGAATGAGAAAACAAAATTTGCGGTGGTAGTAGTTAGTAATGGTTGTCATTTCGACAACATCAAGACCAGGAAGAAAAAGGGGCTGCAATAAAAAATTGTGGTCAGAGTAACATTTGAATGACTAAACTATAACATCTTTACGTTGCTGTTACGTATATGACTTAAAACGATTTCAAACTTATTATTTAAATATTTTGATAATTTTATATTTTTGGTTACAGCTTGATTCCACACCGTACTTTTTGGTACGGGTATGGAATTTTCAGCATGTGATATCGGTAGCCCAAATTTTGCAGGCTGACCATAGATATCAGGTGTGCGTTGGCAGGGTGTCGAACCCCGGACCATGTGCATGGTCGGAGGGAGTCCTAACCACTGTGCCACCGACGCACAGTGATGACGTAACAGTATGGTCGTCCCATGAGACCTCCAAAATAGAACGAATCAGTGGTGGTAAATCGATAATCTGACTTAAGTTGCGAAGGGATATTTGGTTATCACTTGTGCACTACTACATTTATATTGAACACTCTTAACCGTAAAACTTTCATAGACAGTAAAAGTGAAAATCATTTTTTCCAGATATTTTGTTTTTCGAGTTGTGCCAGGCAAAGTTCAAAAATAGCGCCCCAAGGGATGCGAACGCACGGGTGAGCTTGAGCCGACCAATCAAAAATGAGGAATTTTTGTAGAAAAAATGCATGAAAACACATTAAACAGGGTATCTTCCTTTGACATGACTTAAAAATACGTCCCAGTTATTATGAGGAGTATCAGTTACTACGTGAGACCAGTTTCTGTACATGTATTCACCTAGGTGTCTGAAGATGAGCTGTTTTTGTGAATCGTTCATCTCTCTTACCCTGTTGTGCGATCTTCCCCGAAAACCGTCGGCTGAATTACTATGGTTTCCAGTAAGAGGATTGACGACTACTTACCAGGAAAATGTGGATAATAAAACAAATTAAAATAAGTGACATCAAGTCTAAATCTACCCCCAATCGTAACCCTAAACTTAGTCCTAACCCTAATCCTAACGCTAACGAGCTATTAACACATTGTCCAAACAGTACTTAGAAACGTGATCTAGGTGAAATTTGCTCCTTAGTTGGTAAATAGCGTTGATATTTCAGCCATTAGCCAACGACTAGCATGCATTCAAGGTCATTGGAGCGTTCGCACTCCTGGGACGCTATTGTTGAACTTCGCCTTATACTAAGGATTAGTATCAGTTGGAGAACCATTGGAAAACCAGAGAGTACTGGACAGCTGTTTCATCCTAGTCTGGGGCTCATCGGTAGTACGCACCCACCATCAAGGATCGAACCCAGGACCTCCTGGCTACAAAGCGAGGTCGTAGACCATTAAGCCACTGGGACCCGATCCAATGGCCAGCCCATGAATTCTAACTTCTACGAATTCGTGATTTTAGCGCTACCACCAACCAGTGTCTTCGGCGAGAACTCCATACTCACTCCCGACTAGATGAACCTCACACTGGTCACGAATTCTCACTAGAACTCCAGGAAACTCCATTCTTTAGAAAGTTTTTGGCAGGCATCAGATTAATTTTCAAGAGTTGATTCGTAAGGATTCGATTAATCTCTCGAGTTAGACCACGGATTGATATCAGTCACAGAACCATTGAAAACCAGGGAGTACTGGACAGCTGTTTCATCCTAGTTCCCTAACCGATGTCAATTCGTGGTCTGACTCGAAAAAAAAATCAAATTCTTACAAATTAACTCTTGGAAAATATTTAATTATCTATTCCATGTGTTCCAAATAGAAGATAGGGCTTCAGTAACGATTCTCCACTATAGTCGATTATCTGCTATTCATTTTAATAACTGGTCCCACGACTGTCCACAATCGCCAATTTCTTCTTCTTCTTCACATGGCCTTATCTTCCTGAGACATTTAACTCGTTATTTGCCATCTGTTCTCCTCAGCGTGTATCCGACCCATCTCAATTTTCTTTGCAATATTTGTTGGAAAAAAGATTGTTGATCGGTTTGCGGTCTGCCAGAGTTCCTTGTTACTTATCCTTTCTGGCCCACAGGCTTTCTGATCTTCAGTATCCAGTCAGCGAACACAGCTGTTAACAAAAATCTGCAGTAGCCTGTTGAAAATCCTTTTGGTGACAAGTCAAGCTTCTGAACCAAATAAGAGAAATGACTAGACATTAGTGCTGGAATTTCAAATCTTGATCCTTATGCTGAGTGTGGCAGGTTACCGAAGGTCTATCTAGCTTTTCCAATCCTGGTTGGCTTTGACACCTTCATCCGTTCCGCCTATCACTGAAATGATGGCTGCCTGAATAACTGAAAGAGGCGACTTCCTTCACGTTCCTGATGTTGATGATGATTGCACACCCATTTTCGAATTCCTATCTTCACTGCCTACCTCTTCCGCCAACTTATTGGTTTTTACCTGTAGATCTCCAGATATTCTGGAGTTTTCTTGTTGGCCCAAAGTAATCCTGTCTTCTCGCTCCCCAAAGAGTCCGTCACATTGAGCAGTCCAGCAAAAATTAGGAATATTATCCGTGATATTGAACAATCTCCAATTTCTCTTGTCCTCACTTCAAAGACTTCGCTGAGGTTTCCATTGTGAATCACTTGACACGCGACACAGTCATGTAAAAGTTGAATTAGGTGGATAACAGTTTGCGCTACTGTGCTCTGTGTATTATTCAAACAGTTTTCCAAATCACTTACCCGCTAACCCTGACGACGGCTTTTTCAAAGTCGATGAAGTTAAAGTAGATATTTCACTGATATATTTTTTTAAATTTTAATTTTTATTCCTTCACGTTCCCAGTGGAACATGGGGCTTCAAGCTAGAGCCTTTAAGTTTCTGTAGCAGTGGTGATTATTTTTACAGGATGGGGCTGCTAGCCTAATGCCCAACCTCCCCTCTTTACCAGTAATACTACTGGCTTAGCGAGGTGAAGAAGTGCGTCAGCCGGGGATCGAACACGGTCCATGTGTATGGTCGGCGAGTGTCCTAACCGCTGTGCCACCAACGCACTCACTGATGTATACATAGAATATAATATGATATGCAATCCATATAACTGAATCATAGCTAGCTTATAATTTCAATAGTGCAATAACTTATCCTATAGAAGTATACAGAAAGAGGATTGCAACTTACTGCTACGTGATCCATAAATACGAAATGATCTATCATAATAACCACATTGTATAACAGCTCTACTATCAGCGGTTACAACAAATTGATTACTGGTGATTTGCATATTTTCGTCGAAATCATTTCCTAAACACCGACCAAGTGCTGTATAAAAAGGAGAAAAGAGGAAATTAAGACGAAATTAAAAAAGAAAGAAAATAAATTCCCATAAAGAAGACAAAAAAGGTTGAAAAAAAGCATATTCATTATTTCCTACAGAAGTGTTTGCGCTTTACTGAGCGCCTTGAGGCAGTAAAAGAGTACACACATAACCCTACCTCAATGACGTTTCAGAAGGGTCAAAAGGAGATCAAATTCGCATTGGAATGGTACGGAAACCAACAGAATCGCCACACAATCTGTTCTACAAGCAAACAACGGCAAATATTATCCACATCATTACTTTGGAGATTTTATTGGTCGCTACATCGACCAAATTGATTTATGAGAGTTATTTCATCGTGAGATAAAATACTACGATTTTTTCTTGAACTCTCTCGTTATATGTAGACAACGAAGATAACCACAAAACTCCAATTGGGAGAATATAGTTACCTTATAGTGTGCAAATTTAAAGGCAAGAAAACATTTTTTCAGAAGCATGGCATTCTAACAAAAACTGCAAACAACCAACATACAGTTTACTTGAAAGAGAAACAGTCAACTGTAAATCAATCAGGTAAAAATCAGCCAAAGTGGATCAACAGTTAGAAATGATATAAAAAATCTCTGTCTCTTCTCAGTTATAATTGAAAAAAGTTAAAAAAACGAAAGATGTGAATTTGCCTGAATAATTATGAAACTAGTAATTATTGACTCACTTCTTAGCGAGATTAATGCTGACTATGCTACCTAGCTTGTTGGTGAAGCGTTCACTATCAAATACAAAGCACTGAATTGCTGTTAGATGGTTGAAAACATTCGATAGGAAGCCTCGGACCCAAGTTTCATGCTTGTTGCCAGTCACCAGTCAGAAAGGAGCAACTAAAATCACCGAGAAAATCATGTTCCTCCTAAACTCTGAACTTGAGTCACCCAGTTCTGCAGTCAGGGACGTTACAATTGAGCTATTCTAGATCGTGGTCGACCTCCGGTAGGACTGTAATGGATACTTTGATTGAACACTAAATAGTAACTAATGTAGTGCGCCCAGTCATTCGTTTGGTGCAGACTGAATTCAATCAATCAAATTTGCAATGTGACCACCATTCAGTCTGTACCAACACTAAGGAATAGTCAAATTATCCGCTACAGTCCTTCAGGAGATGCTTAGACTATCAGGAGATTTAGCATTTGCTACTTCCGTTTAGTACTTGATAGCAACTCGACAATTTCAGGTAGTCTTGTATCGGCAGACTGTTATGACTGATGATGATTTGAGGGTGAAATGAAAATCCAGTTCAACGCAGGATTAAAACCAGCACGCTCCCCCCCAGCCGACTTACCGGCTCGGCTCTCTACTACTAGTCGACGAATGAGACCCAACTGATATGTCGTAATTTCATCACAGTTAATGCTCAGCTGTTATGTGGATGGTGGACACATTTCTGTCAGTTTATCACTACTTCTAACAGCATATCTAACTCTCCTTTTGTTTCATTCTTAATCATACTGAATTAGGAAAGGGTTCAATTGCAGACAGAGACTTTCGCAGATGATCCTTAGATTGTCTATCTAGATGGTGATAAGATAAATTAACCCTTAGAAAATAGTAATCAAAAATGAAATACTAACGTGTTACAAATTCTGATTTTAAAGGCAAATTGACTATTTGCTCCGTTCCATGCTTAACACGTGAATTTTCTTTAGATGATGTCGGAATATTCGTAACACTGGTAGTAACCAATGGTGACACAGTAGCATCGATTATAGGCTGTGACGAAGATGATGAGATGATGTTACTGATAAGTCATTATTATTATTATTGTTGTCCTTTGAAGTCGCAGATGGAGTTTTAGTCTGTTGAAGTTTTGTATCATGATTGTTCGCAGTTGTATCGACTGATTCTGTATCATGATTTACACGAGCTGTTAGATAGAGAGAGTTAAGGAAACAAAGGAATGAAAAAGAGGAATTTTATGCATGCTACAAAGCATTATCATTATATTACTCATTAAAGTGAGGTAATAACTATCCCTATTTTGGATTAAGTAGTTTAATGCCTGAGAGATTTGTTCCATGAAGAATCCGTCTTTGATATTATATATATATACATATACTCTTCAGCATCTTTCTATTTAGACACTTTCTAATTGTTAGCAAGTTATGCGCAAAGCAATCTATAGAACATCTGATAGGGATTCTTACAAAGAATCCGGACCTAATTGAAGAGGATAATAGATGGGAATGTTTCTTGTACGCGGGCGGTTCAGTGATAGACTACTAGGTCGACGGATTCCTCTGCCTCGCTTAGCCGGTAGTAATCGCCGTTAAGAGGGAAGGTTGAACGTTACACCAGCAACCTCCCCCCCTTCCTATAAGCCAAGAAAACAACACCAACGCTACTGCGACTTCAAAGCTCAAGCTTGAACCCTTATGTTGCACTCGGAACACAAAGAGGCGGAAAGCTTCAGAAAATTTCTTGAAGTATTATAAATTATTACAATAAGCGGTCAGTCTATTTTTCTAATTCATGAGAAAACTTCATAATTTATGAAACAACAATCAAGTGTTCTTTTGTTTCAATAATAACCACTAATCAAATAATGATTGAAAATAAAAGACAACAATATAGATAAACCATTTACAAAACACGTACGACTAGAATTTAGAAATGATGGAGAACAAAATTTGTAGCTAAGATGGATGTGAGTGAGTGAAGTAGTTAATACTGAAGCCATCAAGCAGCTTACAGAATACAACAACATCAAGAAAGGACTGAGTGCGTCGGTGGTACAGCGATAGAATGCTCGCCGACCACGCTCATGTGGTCCAGGGTTCGATCCCCGGCCGACGCACTCCTTTACCTCGCTAAGCCAGAAATAAGACTGATAAAGAGGGAAGGTTGGGCATGAGGCTGGCTAGCAACCCCATCCCGTAAAAATAAACACCACTGCTACTGAAACTTCAAGCTTCTAGCTTGAACCCCTATGTTCTACTGAGAACGAAAAGGAATAAAAAAAGAAAGGACTAGAATCTAGGCAAACTTTAATCTAATTTATTTAGGTAATTTGGTATGACATAGCTTGAGCTGTCAACGGAAATAATAGTGATGATAATAAAACACAGTATTAACATTAATAATTTGTATATTATCATTTTGATGATTAAAATTTTCCTGGTAAACTACTGAAAAAATACTGAAAATTCAATTTTTTAAATCAGTTTTAAAACCTATCGCCATAAACGACACGGTTCGGCAGAGGATGGGTAGAATTCATTCTTTCTCTCGAAATGTCCTCATGTTGCCACGCCTTTATAGTCTATGTTAGGTAAGTCCTTTTCATTCACTACTTTCACACCACAGAGAGCGTGTTCTTCATAAAAGTCAAAGGATGAATTCGAACGTCTGGCGTTTACAACCGGGATGATGGACATTCTAGTCTACCTAGGACAGCTGGAAAACCTTCATTCCAAACCTACAATCTGCATAAATTGACTCTAAAATCCTGTAGATCGAATGATCACTGGAAATCATGGATCAGACCTGAAGCCGAAGACTCGGTGGTTGACCTATTAAAACAACCATCTGCGTTGATTTGAACATCCCAAAAGTATCGCCGAGCTAACACAAAGTATGAATTTTTGTGCAGCGCACCTCATAGTGCTCATAATGCATCAAGTTTATCTTTTGTGTGTGTGTGTGTGAATGTGTCAAAGACAGGAAGAAAAAACAACATCATCTCTTATACTGTGAACCCATACTCTTCAGTCACAAGAGAATTGATTGCTATTGAGTGATAATAAAGGTAGTTGAGTGTCAATTTAACAAGTGTGAAGAGAATGTGAAAATGTAAAAGAAAAGAACTTATGAGAGTGATAATAGTGAATTAATTATTAAAGCAAAAGTAAAATTAAAAATTAGAAAAGAAAAGGAAATATCAAAACTTTTTACAGGGAACGACTAGTGTAGAGGTTAAAACCACGGTAGAATAAGAGACTAGACAAACATTTTCTGCATACAGAGTCGTCTTTCAAGATCATCTCACCTACAAGGTGAGGCCAAATGGTACAAAGGGCGTCAGGTTTCGGCTTTTGTGTATGGCGGAGGCGCTGGCAACTCCGAACTCTGCATACAGAAAAAGTTTGTCCATGGTCTTAACCTTTTGATTAACTGTTCCCTGTAATTTTTATTTTAGTGATTAGTTTGCTTTCACCTTATTAATTAATTCACTATTATCACTCTCATATGTTGCTTTTGTACATATTCTCACCCTCTTCACACTTTGTGCCGTTGAGTATCACGTAATTTACAGCTTTTAATTTTCTTTTTACTTCTAAAGCCACTTCCGAGTAATTATATCAAAAATGATTGCACTGAGGGCGACAACAACAATAATAATAATAAGGCCTTTACTAAAATCTACCGAAATAAAGTTTCATTGTAATTCCAAGAAAACAAACAAACGACCGTCGCTAGTATATTGTCTGCTTAAGCCTAAATATAAGCACATCAGAGTCTTTGAAAAAAATGACTCTCTTATTATTTTTATTCAACACGATAATCTAAGCACTAATGTGAAGCCGTTTATAACATGCCTACAACCAATCCACAAAATGAGCAGCAACATTCTGACAAGAAATTACAGTAAAATTCATGAAAACAAACAAACAAACAAAAGGAAGCATATCAACTCACCTTTTCGATAGACTGCATCTGTAACATGAAGGAAAGAAATAGAATGAATGTATTATATTGTTAATCATACTTGGTTAGACCATGCATTGATATCAGTTAGAGAACCATTGGAAACCAGCAGGGAGCACTGAAGGGGTGTTTCATCCTCCTTTGGGACTTATCGGCAGCACGCACCCACTGGTTTTCGAACCCAAATAGAATCCCTACAGACTAATTCTTCAAAATTCGTCTGATACACTCTGGTGACTGGCTACGGCACGAAGTTGCCTAAAGTTCTAGTGAGAAGTCGTGACCAATTAGGTCCATCCAGTCGGGAGTGAGGATTGAGTCCTGGCCGATGACATTGGTTGGTGATCGCGCTAAAGTAATCACGAATCGGTAGAAAACAGAATTCATTGACCTTTGACTTGGGTCCCAGTGGCTGAATGGTATACAAGCTTGCCTTGTTACCGGAAAATCCTGAGTTCGAACCTTGATGGTGAGGGGGTGCTGCCGATGAGTCCCAAACTAGGACGAAACAACTGTCCAGTACTCCATTTTTTTCAGGGATTCTCTAACTGATATCAATCCATGGTGTGACTTGAAATCAATAGAATCCCTACAGACTAATTCTTCAAAACCTACTACTTAATTTATAGGTAATTTAGTCAAGATTTCACACAGCCATTGTAATGGACAAATTATTTGGAAAATCCTTCCTGGGTGATATATTTGTAATATTTATACTTATTTAGACGTTTCAACTATGTTGGTAATTATGATACCTTTTCCCCTAGACTGTGTATCAATAATTTGACATTTGCAGATCAAATGTTGATTTTAGCCTTTATCATTATTATTCGCCTTTGTCCTTGTGTTAATCTTCAATTGTTATACTCCTCTTTATGGTTGTGTCTATATTGACAATGTGAGTTTGTCTCAGTGAATGCAGGTCATCCCAGTCATCCCTGGGACTGTCTGCGACGGGAAGCGTTGGTGCGTGTGACTCATGTGGACAGAGGTTTTGATCCCACCTCGTTGGGAATATTCTCCTTCTCGATTCTAAAGTACCTTTTGGTTAAGTTGAACTTTGGTGAACTAATTTTGTCCTACATTACTTGTTTTATGTTTAGAAACCTACATTACCTGTATAGCTACCACCTCACGGCAGCACTGTTGAGATAGATTTGAGTTTTGACGTTATTATTGTTTA